TAAATTGTATTCCAGAATTAATAAGATTAATAAAGAGTGATATAATAGTTTCTGTAGTATTCTTATGTGTAGGATATGCCCATATATAACGTGAGTGATGATCTATAAATACTTGAATATACTTGTGCTTTGTTTTGTCGGATGCCGGTCCCATGACAATAGTATCTAAACCAACCAATTCTAAAGGCTCTAAATCCGGTTCAGGGCAAATATATTTCCCAGGAGTTGGCCTATGGTCAAGTTTAGTTAACTGACATGTGCGACATGATTCAACATATTGTTTTATGTTGTGTATTATGTTTGGCCACCAATAGTATGAAGTAATGAGTTTTACTGTCTTGGCTTTGCCAGGGTGTCCATGGTTATCATGAAATTTTTCAAATAATTTTGTACGTAACGCTTCCGGTATAACTGCTTTATGTATACCATTGTGTTGAACTGTTGTAATACCAAATCGTATTACAGGTGATTTAACATAAGATAAATCAGTGTTTTCTTGTGCATCTTTTATTTCTTGAGTTGATAGATGTAATGCTATAGGTGCTCTTGAGAGTGCGTCCACGTGTTGTTGATTACGGCCTTCTCTATGTATGATTTTCATTGGATAGGTTGACAGCTCAACAGCCCACATATGTAATCTTTTCTTCGGTTTCTTAAGAGTAGTAAGCCATTGTAGAGCTTTATGATCAGTGATGACCTCAAACTCTCGGTTGAGATAAACTTCAAAATGTTCAATAGCTTCCTTGACCGCCAGGCATTCAAGTTCAGTAGCACTATAGTTTTGTTGTGCTGTATTGAGTTTGCGTGAAAAATACTCAATTACGTGTTCTTGATTGTCATCACATATTTGAGTTAACGTAGCTCCGATACCAATACCTGAGGCATCAGTATATACTCGACACGGTTTATTAGTGTCAAATAAAGTTAACACTGGTGGTTTAGTTATGTCATCTGTTAATATTTTAAATGCTTTTTCCTGTTCTGGGCCCCAATAAAATGTAACACCTTTCTTTGTTAATGCTGTAAGATGTTTAGCCTTATTAGCAAAGTTAGCAATAAAGCGTCGGTAATAACCAGTAAGTCCTAGAAATCTTCTGACTTGTCGTAGAGTAGTTGGTTTCGGAAATTCTTTAACTGCCTTAATTTTGTCTTCAGATGGTTTGACAGATTGATACGAAACAACATGTCCAAGATAAGCTACTTCATTCATAGCAAAGTGGCATTTACTTTGTTTTAATTTGATATTGTGTTGTCTTAAAATGTTAAATACTTTTTCCAATAATGTTATATGTTCTTCGTGTGTTTTTGTGTATAATATTATGTCATCTAAGTAATTAATTGCACCATTGTAGAGAAGAGGACCTAATATTTGTTGAATAATGCGTTGGAATGTTGCGGGTGCGTTTTTGAGACCGAATGGCATGACCAGCCATTCATAATGGTTTTCATGTGTGACAAAAGCTGTTTTGTCAACCGAATCAGAGTCCATCTCGATATGCCAGTAACCCCAGGCCACGTCAAGTGTTGTGAAATAACGAGCGCCTTGTAGGCGGTCTAACACTTCAGTGATCCTCGGCATCGGCATTTTGTCATCAATAGTAATAGCGTTAAGTCTTCTGTAGTCTATGCATAAGCGTTGTCCACCGTCTTTCTTTGGTACCATAGTAACTGGGAATGCCCATTGGCTGTCTTTGCTTTTGCGTACGAGTCCTTTGGCCTCCGCCTCTCGTATGATTTTTACAATCTCGTCGTATTCATGTTGAGGTCGGCGGTAAGGACGTAGTTGAATTGGTGGATGCGGAACCGTAATAATCTTGTGTTTGACAACTTGAATTCGTCCAATGTCTGTGTCATGTTGTGCGAAAACTTGTCTATGTCTTGCGAGTAGTTTCTTTAGCGTAATGTTTTCTTTTGTTTCTATGTTTAGTATGCGAGTCTTTACTTGTTCAATGCGAGCGGTAACTTTACGAGTGCTTAGGTCTACTGTTAAACCAAATCGTTTACCAACATCAAGTCCAAGTAAGAGCGGGTACCGGAAATTAGCCAGTACGTGAAATGTAGTTAAATGTGTTTGTGATCCCATTGTGAGTTTAGTAGATACGCGACCAATACTGTTGATATTGCCGTCAACTTGTAGTATATTGATAGGGTGATGGGTATCGATAGGTAGTTTCAAATGGTTGGCCAACCGTTGAGAAATGATATTTACTGTACTACCAGTATCGATAAATGCGCGCGCGGGATATGAGTTGACTTTGACGACAAGATTAATGAAATCGGGTATCGGTCGCATGTTTAGTTTAAAGTCTCATGCGAGGAATGGTCACTGACCACCATGTCTTGAACTGCTACTTGAGTTTTCGAATTACGGTTAATTGGAGTACGAGGGGTACGAGAGTAACCAGTGCTATGGTTACGTGCGGTAGTGGTTGACATACCATACCGACGGTTCGGATTGTTTGGACAATCTCGGTGCCAATGAAATTCTACAGTTCCTAACTTTTCGCAGAATCTACACTTCGGTGCTGTACTAGTATTAGCATTCATAGTACGAGGAGTTAGCTTTGGTTTCGGTTTACCGAATCTAAATTGATTTTTCATATTAGTTTCAATTAATTGCGCCGCTTCTAACCAGCGATTGGTTGTAGCACAGCTTAAAGTAATAAAATATGGTTTCCAGTGCTGCGGTAAACCATCGGTAAGCTGTTGTACTATATCGGTAACTGTAAGTCTAGTATAGCGCAATAGTCTAAGTTTGTCYCTATAGTAGTCAAGTACCGACTCATCACGTCTGAGGTAACGCCTCTGCGCGTCTAGCAATGGGGTAGACGAGTCTGCGCCAAAGCGTTGTATCATAAGACTACTTAAGAAGTTACGCGGGTTTGGTATAGTAGACCAGTTATAGGTTAGGACTTCTTCGCCATACCATTCGAGTGCTTGACCAGTCAAATAATACTTGAGGTTACGTATTCGGTCTTGTTCTTCCATGTTCTCGGTGTGGTCATAATATAATTTCAGCCAAGTCTGAACCCGAATTGATTTATCACTACCATTGAATTTCTCAAGTTTAGGTAGCCCATGACCAGGTGTTGTGTTGAAATGCGTTTGCGTTGATGTACCAGTAGATGGCGTAGTAGTATTTGTGTTTGCATTTACCGTTCCCGTGACGGGTGGCGTGGACAGACCATTGATGCCGTTATCGTCAGCCATTATTAAAATAATTACTTAACTATGCGTTGTTAGACGTTAATATGCGTTGCTAGGTGTTGGCTTCCAATCGATGCTCCACTCATGCGTTGAAGTGAGCAGTGAGTTCACAAAATGGCGTATCAGTACAGTGTAATGAATTTAATATAAGCAGTGATACATATATATGCACAGCGCTATCGGCCACTCAATAGAGCTCTATAGTTTATGATTACTTTGCTTAGTATATTGGGAGTGCAATAGAACTATGCCTCACGTCCCTTAGACTAGCGTTTTGTCATAAACTATATGTCCGATAACATACGTGAATGTATCACCGATATACCAAATGTATGACTATACTGATTTAACCAAATTATGAAAATTACGGTTACTCACTTAACTCAAACGGATCCTGCCGACTGCGCCAAATGTGACGGGTGTGGGGTTGACTTTCCCGTCATTGAAGCGAAGCTGTGATGAAAAGCCAATGTTGAGTGTTGTTGTTGATGAATGAGATGAAAATAATTAATAAATAATATTAATTAAGGCGAATGTTCATTAGGTGCCGTCACAAGTGTATATAATAACATTGAAATATAACTGAATTTTATTTAAAGTTAAAACACATTGAAATAGATAGGGAGTACACAGTGTTCCATTACAATATAATATATAGAATATAGGATAACTATATAATGAAAAGCAAGAGATGCGTGCTCTTTGATAGCAAGCGAGTAACTGATAAAGTAATGGATGCAAAGCATTATTATATAGTGATTCTACTAATCAATAAATGTACTGTCAAGGCTATGCTTCCAGAATATTCTATAGTTACGCAACTGTAGATACAGTGACGCAACCAGAGCATAGGAATGCTATGATTGACAGGTCTATGGGAGTTATAATGTAAAATGTAATATTTGGTTATAATTAGTAAAGTATAATTAGTTATGTGTTGTGTTTTATATAGTTGTGTTAAGTGTAAAGTCTAGAACACGAAGATAACAAAAAGTCTACAAAAATATTAAAAATTACTAAATTATTGACTAAATAAGATTTACAACAAATAGAGAATTTCAATCAGTTATATATGGTAAGTATTGTATACTTATATAAATGGGAGCACTGTACCACTATATAGTAGTGTACGCATTAATAGTACAGTGTACCCCAACATATAATGTTAAGCACTGTTGACTCTCTACTGCTATAGCGTATTGAGTCAACGCCCCTGTAATGGCGGCTTACAGTGTATACATGTGTTTGTATGTATGTGTGTGTATGTGAATGTATGTAAACATTTAATTGTAAGTATGATTTTTAATTTAATTAATTAGATATATATATATTTATAAATAAAAGATTTGTGTTTCATCACAAATTAACTAATTTTTAATTTATGTTATTTTATTATATATATATATATATATATATATATAGTAATACACAATAATATAATATATATATACTGTATATTTCACTTATTCGTGTGAATGCATAACAAACTTTTGTCGTCTCTTTTAACGAGTGATATGTAATATGTTTTAAAAATAAACAAAATTCAGTGTTAAATATAAATAGTTTATTATTATTATTACAGATTCTATAGATAAAGAATTTAATTTATAAGTGATTGTATATTTTAGTAGTTATCACTCATAATATAAAGACATAAAGGCTTAAAACTTAAAGAATATTCTTTAGTCTGAAAAACAAATAATAATGTTATTATTTAGTATTTTTAAAAATCTAATAATTCAAATGAAATTCATAATTAAATTAAGTTTTGTCTATTCAAAAACCAATTCTAGGATATGGCGATAATCCACCGAAAACCCGTACGGGTCAGGCCATCACAATGGTTTACGCTTTTGTAGGCATTCCTCTACTGTTGATGGTATTGGCAGATATGGGAAAAATATTTACCCGAGGAATCAAATTTATCTTCAAATACATACGTCGACTCTATTACAACAAAAGCCTTCGACCCATACGCCGAGTTGGCCGCAGTGTCGGTAATATGGGTCGTAGGGCTACACTAGCCGGACTACCATTTGATAAGGTTTAGCCAAAAAAATGATGTTATTTCTAAAACATAACATTAGTTATTAACTTAACATTAATTTTCAATTTATTGTAATATTAATTTTTATAGTATAAGAGCTCAGCAGTAATAGCATTAAACAAAGGTATTGCTTATGTGCCATATGTTCAACAAATTAAAGAAACCAATAATAAAACTGATGACAAACCAAGTATTCCCGTACGGGGTATCAAAAATAGTACGAAATTTGTTAGTCATCTCGAATCAAACCCGAATGGTGACAGCGATACCGGCATAACAAGAGCACCGTTTATTGTACGCACAAACCCGACGCCACCACAAACAGCGGCATCTTCACCGCCAATCACACCAATACCACCCGAAGGACTGTTCGACTACGACGATGATGAATTCAATCTACCGATCTCTTTGGCCATTATTATATTGATTATCTATCTGTTGATCGGTGCCATCATATTCTGGTCGAGCGAAAAGTGGTCACTATTACATGCCTTTTATTTTGTCTTTATTTCGATGTCCACTATCGGGTTCGGCGACTTTGTGCCAAGCAATCAGAATGTTCTGTTGGCTGCATTCATATACCTATTTTTCGGGTTGGCGTTGACCTCCATGTGCATCAATGTCGTACAAATCAAACTGAGCGCTACTTTCCAGAGGGCCAAACTATTRGTGGGCGAGTCTATCGGTTTGGATGTACAGGAGATGCTGAGACAGGAACTGGAGGCCGAAACCAGAGAGAAAGATAGGACGTCCCGCGAGCCCAGCGCTGAGGTCAGCAATGCTAGGCTTGAGGTGAGTTCAGGCGATAAAAATAAGACGAGAAAATCGTCCAAAAATCTGGAAGTTTGACATAAAATTTATTGTTAAACTTTTTTATATATATCTAAAAACTTGAGATATTTGTTATTTATTATTAAATTTAATTAGTATATTATATCATATAATTTTAACAATTATTGTTGTTTATATAATATTTGCTTAAATAAATAGCACGTATTTAATTTGTATGAATTATATCATACAGTATATTGAAGTCTACGGTATTATAAGTATTTTTGTTCATATAATGCATTATATTATTATACGTTTATAATTTAAAAATATAATAAGATGTCATTCATGTAATATTATTATTAATTTATAATATTTAAAATCAGTATTAAATTAATGTATGTATAATTCTATGAAAACTTTGTTATAAAATTTGTTATTTTTTCTAAAATATTATACATTGCATAATATAAATGCAATAAAGTATTATGTAATGCATAGCCAATAATAAAACATAAAATAGCATTACATCAGAGTCTCTGTATTACAAGTTGTTTGCTATTTTTGGAAACGTTTATAAAACGGCAATTTAAAAGTTAAATTAATAATTAATATTGAATTATATTATAAAAGTTAAAATCCTAAGTACTATTTTGAATTATCATACATGTGATATCACAGATATATGTTATTTTAAGAGATTATAATACATTGAAATTTAAAGATTACACACAAAAATATTTTATAAACAAACAAACAAAAACACAAAAATAAATCACATGTTGCATGTGATTAAAAATAATATATAAATATAGAGAATATATATAATTATATATATATAAACCAGTTAAATGCAGTCATAAGACATGTTTAGTAAATATATATATATTTGATATTAGATTTTTATTTATAATAAATAAATTTTATTTAATATTTGTTATAAATATATGTTTAAAAATAATAAAATATTTGTAATTTTATTTGTTATTTTAATAAGTTAATAATATTAACTATTGTATTGTTATACAAATAGTTTTACTAAAAAGTGTTTTATATAAAAAATTGAAAATTTTTAATAAAGTGAATATCACAACAAATGATTGTATTTCTATGAAAATCACTGATTATAGTGACTGTTATACAACAACACGTGTCRATAACAGTAACACAAATCATTAGTATTGGATTATTGTTAAAATACTAATACTWAACAGCAATTAAATAGACATCAATTGATTCATTCATCTAAAACTATGGCATCAAATCAAAATAAAAGCAACTCTTCATTTGGAAATGCTTTCCAAAGCTTTCTCGCAAACTCAAAGCAATCCAGACCTCAACCACCGACTCCACCACAACCAACACCACCACCAGCAGTARTAACAACAACAACAACAACAACAACAACAACAACAACAACAACAACAGGACTACCACTWCAAACACAAACAATTATGGAAAATACGCCTAAATTTGATCAAAATTTGGTTAACAAAATGTATGGCATTACTATTAAAGATAAGTCTATTTGCATTCAATTGGGAAAATTAAAATGTCTTATATGTGATATATCATTCAATATAAATGATGTAAAACATATTCATTATATATATGATAAACATGTTGACAGTTTACAACATAAAAGTAATCTAAATTTAAATGCTAATAAAAGAAAGTCTAGTGAAGCTTTGAACAAATTAGTTCCCAAAACTCAAAAAGAATTTATAATTCAATTATGTATTACATTAGTTGCCGCAAATATCCCTTATTATAAATTACAATTTGATAGTTTTAAAAATTTTTTGACTGAATACACACAGTATAAAGTACCAGATCAATCAACAATTAAAAAAAATTTACCAATTGCATATAATACTGTGTTTGAGAAAATGAAATCAATTATTGGTAATAATTTTATTTATTTAATGTTTGATGAAACAACAGATAAAAATGCAAGAATTGTATTTAATGTAATAATTGGAATATTAGATGGAAAATTACATAAACCAATGCTATTGTCTACTGAATTTTTAAAAGCAACTAAAGCTATAAATATAGTTAATGCCTTAAATAATGCATTAAGTAAATTATATGGTAATCAAATACCTTTAGATAGAATAAAATTATGCATTACTGATCAAGCAATGAATATGATTGCTGCTGTAAAAATGTTTAAAAATACTCACACAAAAATTAAACATGTGACATGTTTAGCACATTGTCTCAGTCGAGTTTGTGATAAAATAAGAGAAGATAATATTACTGCTGATAACTTTATATCAAATATGAAAAAACTTTTAAGTTTTTCGCCTAAAAGACGAAATGAATTTAAAACCATATGTCCAAATATACCGTTACCTAAACATCCAATATTGACGAGATGGGGATCATGGTTAAATGCTACATTTTATTATGTAAAATATTTTGATGATATTTTAAATTATATTAATCAGTTGAAGCCAACAACTGAGTTAATAAAAAATTTAAAACACAGTATGGAAAACCCTTTACTTAAAACACAACTCAATGATTTGAAACAATATAATAATATTGTTGATTATATTACATTATTACAATCTGATGAGACAACAGTAACCGAACAAATTAAATTAATTAAAGACTTGAAAAACACTTTAAAAGACAACGCATTAGTTAAACTTACTAATAGTTTGGCTAAAAATCCGGATTTCAAATATTTTTCCGAAAATCCTGATATAATATTTAACTACGCACGTTTAACATCATCAATTTGTGAACGTTCGTTTTCTATATATAATGACATTTTTTCGCCAAAAAGAAGAAATTTTTGTGAAAAAAATATTGCAATGTATTTATTTGTAAATTTTAATAACTTTTTGTAAAAAAATAAAAAAAAAAATTATTTATTTTTTGTGTGTAGTTTTTTAAAATCAACGTTATTATTGACGTTTATCCAATGCTATCCCGTCCCAATCACATCAGTGTGAATTATTTTATGGCAATTTAAATTTTTAAATAATTGTTCAAATTTTTTCCCCATAAAAATCAATAAAACTTTATTTCACATTAAATTAAATCACTAACAAAAAACAATGACAAGAGTTGAATGTAAATCCAACAATGTTTTCGTGTACTCGACGGACAACCAGCTCATCGGCTACGGCGGTATCTCCCGTACGAGTCCGCTGTCAAACTTTTATAAGACCAGCTTCATGTACGGTGGCCACCAATACACGTACGCCGAGTGTGCAATTATGTATGAGAAGGCCGTTACGTTTAACGACACGAAGACAGCCGAACTGATCCTCAAGTGTACACAACCGGCGGCCGCCAAACGACTCGGTCGTCGGATAAAACCTTTTGACCCGAAAACTTGGATTGAAGTGCGCAACGAAAAAGTACCGAAAATACTATACGAAAAATTTACGCAAAATGCAGAGCTCAAGGAGTGGCTAATATCTACTGGAAGTGCTGTCTTAGCCGAGATTTCTACGGAAAATAAAGACGGAAGCATGAGATATAGCGATAAGGTTTGGGGTATAGGTATCGGACCGTCGCATAAGGATATTGACAAACCCATGCAATGGCATAAATACGGCAACAACTTCTTGGGCAAGACATTGATGAAAGTAAGACAAATGATTGTCGACGATGTGACAGATTAATTGAATTTTATATATTTGTAATAATCACAGATAAACTTATGGTAATTAAATTTTTCAAATATAATTTACTGGTAATTTACATTTGTAATTTACATTTGTAATTTACTTAAATTACAAAACTTATACAATCATGATGATAAGATTGTATCACTTAATCACTATAAAGTTATTATTTTATTGATAGTTGTGTATTGCTGTTATATTATATTATTAAATACATTATATACTATACATGTAGTCTTACTGTACAATACTATTTTGAGTAATTAATAATTATTACAATAATTGTTACAATTAAAGTATACGATATATGAGAATAATTTTTTTCTGTACGGTATTTATATGGAAAAAATTGTTATCAATTGTCATATGAAGTCATAGAGTGCACAATACTATATGGTCAGAGATAACCGTATTTATTATAATTATTAATCGATAAATTTAATAACTGTATGGGTAATGTTGAAATATACTGTTTATAAATATCATATATCATATCATATTTTATTTTATTTCAGTGTTAACATTAACATTAAAAACTAATGTAATATTTTTTATACACTAATACAGTATATAATATAAAATTAACTTTTTGACAATTATTGTCTATTAAGTTTTTATCTATTATTAAGAATATAAAACATATATTATACATGTATATTGTATTTTAGTTTATTTTATAAAAAATATATATTAAAATTTGTTTAATTACATTTTGCAAGTGTTTTCTATTATTAAGTGCTTTTTATGTTGATAAGATAAACAGTTTTATTTTATTTTTTGTATTTATAATTTATCAATGTACATTTAATATACAGTTGTTAGCCCGTTGTATGAATGGCCAACAATTAACAACAAGTAGTTAAAAATTGAATAATAGTTTATTAATATTTAACGTACATAATGTTGTATATTTGAATAACTGGTTGTTACTGATTATAACAATGAAAAAGCATAAGTATATATAGATATAAAAAGCGGATTAATGAGTGATAATTATGAGTAGCCATCTGTCGGCTATCATTCCCCCGCTGGCAAAGACCAGGGCGGTGGCCAACGAGATTTTCGGTGAAAGTTAAGTGACCATCGACGACGATGTACTGTTGCAATTCGTGTCTTATCTGCCAATGTATCGATGAGTCCATTGGTTGGTTGTCGTACCAATTGGTTGGTAATTGGTTTGTTTATTGGTTTTCGGTTTTCGTGTCGACCTTCAGTTGTTTTGTTATCGATCGGTCAGTGCTTTGATTGATTTTCTGTGCGATTGCGATGTCTGTTGCAGACATGACATGATCTGACATGACATGTAATGTCATAATCGCTGTATGGCCACCAGTATCGAGAAGCAATTTTGTGTATCGACTGTCTGATACTGGTGTGATTGTTGTTGTCATGAGCTTCGCGTAGCACTGATGGTATAAGTGATGGCGGGACGACGAGTCTTTCTTTTCCATTGTATTGAACAGTTGTGAGTCCATCTCTGTGCTTGAGTTTCTTAATATCGTATTTGTTGATTTCTTGTTGACGACTAGCGATGTCTTTGATATCCTGTCTTGAAAGTGAGTGAAGACTGTTTGGCAGTACTTTGTTTTTCAGACAATTGTTTGACCGATTGTGACGGTGACTCCAACGGAGTGACGACTGATGAGTACTCGATTGTAGAGACTTCGGCGACTTGTTTGACATTATTTTTCGCTGTAATAATGTGATGTGAATTGTTCGGTGCCTGGACTTGTATGCAATACGAACTGTTGTCTTCTATGTTGTCATCAGTGGTGAGTGTCGTTTCGCATGTGTCGATGGATTCGCCGAATCGCTTCGTTTTAGCGGACTCTATGCCTAGAGCGACCTCAAGGCATTCTTGTAATGCTTAGGACGAAGAGAACCGAGATGATAACGATAGGTTTCGATCATACCATTGGTTAACACGGCTATTGTGTTGTCGTCAGAGAGACCGGCTCTTTGTGTCAACCTTCTCGTGTCATTGTAATATGAAGTGACTGATTCGTGGCGTTGAAGTGCGTCGATCAACGGGTTATTGGTTTGTCGACCAAACTGATTGATCATTAATTCACGACAGCGTTGCCATGACATTGTGTGTCCGTGGGTACCAATTTCTCTGGCGACCGATGAGAGTGCATCACCTGAGAGATGTCGAGCTAAGACGACTAGCTTTTGTTTATCTTCAGTGATGTCGGCGGTAAGGAAGGAGAAGACGTCGAGCCATTCTTCTATAGTTACAGATGAGTCGGAACCCGAATATTTGTCGCATAATAATTCGGTATAGTATGTGTTGTGATGAGTAGCGGCGATTGCGTCACTGAAATCAAAGCGAGTGTTTGCTGAAAATGGCGCCGGTTGTGAGCGAGTTTGATATGCGCTTCCGCTTCCGTTACATGTGTTCGACAATTGCGGTAAGACTGGACTGTTGGTTGTGCGCAACTGCGAGACCCGTTCGGTGAGAACGGTTTCGGTGTCTCTGTAGCTTAAGTCTGTGACCGTTGTATGACCACTGTTACGCGAATCGGTTGTGACAGCGCGATATGCTTCGGCTATGAGTCTGTTGACCATTGTTTGAGCACCACGTCTTCGTGTGCGGCTTCTGGTGTTGTATGTGACCGGCATGTCCGATGATTTCAGGTGAGTAAGGTTGAAGGTGATCCTGTGTGTGATCCTGCCGACTGCGCCAAAATTGTTAGCCCGTTGTATGAATGGCCAACAATTAACAACAAGTAGTTAAAAATTGAATAATAGTTTATTAATATTTAACGTACATAATGTTGTATATTTGAATAACTGGTTGTTACTGATTATAACAATGAAAAAGCATAAGTATATATAGATATAAAAAGCGGATTAATGAGTGATAATTATGAGTAGCCATTTGTCGGCTATCAAAGTATTAGTTAAAAATTTTAACTAAAAATTGTGTAAAAATTAAAAAAGCAATGTATAATGATAAATTTTTAATATTATTAATACACAATATGGTTATTGTGTAAAAGTAAATACAGTTTTATATATTATATTTTTTCTAAGTAAATATTATTAAAATTCATTGTATTGAAAATAGATTTGAGAAATAAAATCAATTATTGATATAATAAATTTGATTTTTATAACAAAAATAATGTCACCACCAAAAAAAGTTGATCTAATTTGTGTTATTTGTAGTGACAATGGAATCGGTAATTATAATATATAATTTAATTGTTAACTAAAAAATTATTTAAACTAAATATTTTAATAACAAACAACAAATAGGCAGAAATTTTGGTGTTATTACATGCGAGTCGTGTAAAGTATTTTTTCGACGCAATGCTATTAAAACTAAGGTATAATATTTAAATTGTACATGATAGATTATTTGAAAAATCATTATTATTATTATTATTATTATAATCAATATTACAATTTAGCAATATATTTGCCTGGATGATGATACCTGTATTATTGACAAACAAACTAGAAATACATGCAAAAAGTGTCGACTAAATAAATGTTATAAATTAGGAATGAAACGGGTAATTGAACACTAAATAAATTTTTATATATATATATTTATTAATCACCTTGGTAATAATAATATTATTGAATAATTAATTAGTTTTAGAATTATATTCCACAAAAAAATAACAAAAAAAAACAAACTAATAATTYCATACTAATAATAATACGCTTATTTTGAATAGCAATTAATAAGAAAAACCGATAAAATAGTTACAAAAAAATCTTTAAATGAATCGACTATTAGCTCGACAACTGATTCAACGACTAGTGATAGCAATGATCACATTATTGAAACCAATGGATATAAATTATTTAATAATAATAATAATAATTTTGATGATCTAATAATTGATGATACCTTCGATGATGACTATCAAGAGTGTGATAAAGATATAAAAATCATGTGGAATATGGCTGTCAAGTCATACACATATAATCCTGTATTTAAACAGTTAACCGATTTGAGTCAATTCAATGAATTTGAATGCTATAAACTAACGGAACTGATGACAGCTACTAAAGTGTTGAATTATATGCACTTTAAGATCAATGATGTCTTAGTGATAGCTGATATGTGTACACTAATGCGATTTTGTGTCCAAAAGATTGAATTGAATACCAAAGACCTGATTATGTTTGCCAAGAAGTTATCGGCTTTTGATAGTCTCTGTCTCGACGACCAGATTTCGCTTATGAAATACGGATGTCTTGAGATTATTATTCTTCGCGATACTCATGTCTTTGACTACAACAATGAATGCAGTTATGGTGTTGTGGTATATATATATATATATAACAGTATATTATGTAAAATGTTTTGTAGTTTTAATTAAGATTATTTGTTGTTGTTATTGTTGTAAACAGGGTAATAAAAAAGCAATTTGTTGGCGTCTGAATGTTACAAAAACGGAAAAAAGAAATTTATACGAAAATTATCGAAATTTTTATTACAAAATAATTCCTCATTTGGTTTGTGATCTATATATTTTGGATCTATTATCAGCCATAATCCTATTTAATCCGAATCGACCTAATCTTAAACATCGAGATGTCATAAAGTGAGACATTTTGTTAATAATTTTTTAAACAGTTATTTTAATATTTTTATTAAGCTTTTAATTTGAATTATTTGTTTTTTATTAATAATATAGGGTTACCCAACAAATGTATATATATTTGTTACAGCGATACGTTTTATTAAAATTCAAGTCGGGATGTCTTTCCGAGACCAATGTGTCGAAGTTGATGAACGCCATGATTGACCTACAGATGATCAGCGAAATCAAGATAAGAAATGGCGCCGAAATATATCAGCAACTGTTTGGTCCGTTTCTTCAAGAGATTCTCTTCAATGTTAATGCAAAATAAATATTTTATTTTAAGACATTTAAGTTTTTTTTATTATTTATTAATATTTAAGAAATTTTATTTTCATTATGTATTTTGTGAAATACGATATAAATTTATATACACTCTATTAATCAATTAAACTATAATTAAATAATGTATATAAACTTATTTTTTAAATAACTATTAATAACTACAAATCATTGATTATGCTATATATTTAATATAATATAATATAATATTAAGATAATATTTGAATAATAAATCTTAAAATAGCAATCAATATATTTACAACAGTTATGTCTATTATGTGTCGCCTGTTATGGTTATACCTCTTATATATCTCACAAATACAAAAACACATACATCTTATAATAGGAATTCATATACAGATATAAGAATTCAATCGATAATATTTACAAAATTATTTTCATGTTATGTTAAATACCATAAAAACATTTAATAATTACTATTTTTGTTTGAATATAATAATAATAATAATCTCTTTAAAAAATATAATTGAATTGTAAAAAGACAGTACAAAGTCACAAAAATATGTCAAAAGTAGTTCAAGTGGTCACCTATTTGAGGGACAGAATCACACTTTGGGCGCACAAAACCACACGAGAGACCAACGAAGACGAAGAATCATCTGATGACGAATCGGACGATGGATACGAGTTTCAGGAAGAGGGTCGCGGTTTGCGTACAGAACGTATACTGCGGGCCATTATTCATATACCGGTGCGTTGGTTCCAGAATGTCTATCACGCAAAACAACTGGAGCGCAGCCTAAACAAAGAACACCCGGAATGTCCAGTAAAAGTCAAAGTTGTGGACAAACTGGTGGGCAACGAGTTTGTGGAAAATACTTTCGACTACGGACTCATCATTGTTCCCGTTATGTTTTTGGTCAGTTTTACACTGTGGGCCGTTTCCCGATGGACAGCCCGCTGGCTATTCGAACCGTTAGCACTGGTAATGATCATACTGTCAGTCATACTGTTTGTAGCATTTGGTCTAATGTTTGTCTTCGCCGCCTTTTTCGGCTATGAGTTTGAGTATGTGGACGCACGGAGTTACCCGAAACGCAAACGCAATCCGATGGACTCGTATAGTAAACTGGCCTAACATTTGTTGGCAATGATTACATCGATTTTTTTATTCGAGATTTTATTTATGACCAGAATTTCGAGATCAGAATTCTTGCGAACAATTATTTTATAGAAAGTTATTATTTGAGGAAAGGTCTGCTCTTCCATATTATGGATCTATTGAAACATTATTTGTATAATTAATATTAATATTAATATTATATTAATACAACAATTAAAAGTTTTTTGTGTTTTAATTGTAAATATAATCAAAATTAATTGTATGTAATGATTTAACAAGCTATCCAATGTAAATCATTATTATTAATATTATAAAAAGTAGATTAATAAAATATATATTAGTTAATATTGTTTTTCAATTTAAATAGTAATTTCTTAATTATCAAATCATTATCTATCAAAATGTTTTCATACTATAATTACCTGAACAATATAATCTATAACAAATTTATTTGGCATAAGTTATTTTTATAGTTTTATAGTTTATTAATGACCAGTAAAACTTAAACATTAAAATAATATTCTTTTAAAGTTTAAGTTTTAAATTAAGAAATAATATTGAAAACATTGAAATAATTTTTAATTAAATATAATTACATCATATAATTATATCATATTGATTGAAATTATATTAATTAATTTAGATTAATTAATAAAGTACTGTATAATATTTTTATTACAATAAATAAATATAATAATTAGCAATATAAATAATATTAATATAACTATTGAACAGTATTAATAGCAATCTCATAATTTTAATAATATTTATTATAATTATTATTATCAAAGTTATAAAACAATTTATTTAATCAATAATAATATGATAAGTAATTTCATACATGAATTGAATTCAATCAATGCTTTACTTTATTGATGTTTTGCCCCAAAAATAAATGTCAATAATAACAATACAAATGCAATTCAAAAACGACTTTTGAAAAAATCAGAAAATATTTTCATTGATTCATACGTTACGGTATCGGCAATAGTGGACAACCAACCGATTAATCGACCAATCAATAGGATAGCAACGCAATGACAATGACTTTGAATCAGTCGATGCACGCGCGCAATATTTACCGACAGCGGCCAAACTTTGCCGAAATGGCCAAATCGTTTCCGTCGTTTGCTCCGTACGTGCGGACAGATCTGAGAGGCCGGTCGAGTGTTGACTACGATGACTGTCGCGCACTACGAGAGCTAACAAAAACGCTACTAAAGAAAGACTTTGATCTTGACGTTGATATACCTGAAGACCGACTTATACCGACTGTTCCGCAGCGACTAAATTATCTGCTGTTTGTCGAAGATTTGGTCACTAAATTGAAAAGTTTTGGAACAGCCATCGCTTCTCCTGACACTCGACTTCCCACAGAAGTGATCGGTCTCGATGTCGGCACCGGCTGTTGCGCTATCTTTCCGCTGATTGGATGTACGCTCAACAAAGATTGGCATTTTGTGGCCGTCGATGTGGACCAGCTTTCTATACAATCGGCGACATATAATGTCAGCAGAAATGGTTTAAATGACAGAATTAATGGTTTGTAAAACTTGTGTCTATTTTTTAAACCTTGAATTATTGGTTAATATATTTTTTTACTAATTATTTAGTCATTGAATGCGACGAAGAAAACAGTTTTGAGCCAATCGTCCAACAGATGACTAGTAAAGGCAAGAGAATAAACTTTTTGATGACTAATCCGCCGTTTTTTGGCCACAAATACGAGAATGAGTTTGACACGAGTGGTGGCGATAAAACAGATCTCCAGATGGACGATGAAGTCAAGTCTACGAAAGATAGTTCCAAGTTTGCAACAAAAGCCCAACAGATATGCCATTTCAGACATAAATCTACGGCCAACACATCCATTACAATTGAATCAGTTGTCGACGGCGGCGAAGTTGAGTTCGTGTTGAAGATAATCGAAAGGAGTTTAAGATTAAGAGACAAAGTGATGATCTATACGACAATGTTGGGCAAGAAAAGTAGTCAAAAACAATTGAAGTATATTATTAATAAACACATCCAAAATGGTGACATTCAAAGTGCGGTCTATACCGAATTTTGTCAGGGAGTTACCAAACGGTGGGGCATTGCGTGGACACTAGTATTGGGACTTAATCTACGGGAAGTTCCGGTCATAAAAATGCCTAAACAGAAAAAAACTCCATTAATTTACTATTTTCCACCACTGATGGAAACTGTTGAATATACAATGGAAGCGATTGGTGATAAAATTGAATCACTTCTTAAAGACGATATTAAATTGGAAACATTTACAGTCGAACGAAATAAGAAGAAAATCAAATTTCTGATCAAATCGGATGTCAATGTCTGGAGTCATCAGCGAAAGAAAAGGAGAGAAGCAAAGCGTCGAATCGAAAGCGATTCGTTAACTGATAAGTCTTCGCAAACCGTAATGAATGATGTTTGCAACCCTCACAACAAAAATGATTTATTAATGGTTGGCAATGGAAGGACAGAGATTATGTCACCTAAAAAACGGTGTTTAAGTGATATGGAATGCGATGATAACGATGACAACGAGATGAATGACCATCAAATAGATGTTAAGAAAAATAAGACAATAGTTAAAGAACTTTTGGGACACAAAAAGTATTTATTGGACGCAAGTCTTGTTATCAAACGAGACAAACAATCAATTCTTATGGAAATGCAGACCAAAGAGTTGGCCACAAGTAAAGAATCTACTCATCAACTCTTTCTATATTTCAAGAATATTCTTATATAAAAAACAGTCTGATATTTGTCATTACCGGTAATATTCATTAACTGTAATTACCAATTGATTTGTCATTTAAATAATTACCGTTTATTTATGTCAACCAAAATCAATACAATTGTTATTAATTCATTATAATTTGTTAATTGTTTGAAAAAAAATCACTATTTCTATATACAGTGTACTTTATATACATTTCATAATCAAGTAAATAAAACATTTAATTTAATAAATGTTTAAATTACCGGTATTTTAATTTTTATTATAACTCTCTCTCTCTCTCTCTTAACTTATTTGAATTCACTTTATTTATGAGCAAAAAAACGTTATTATTGTATACAAAGAGATATTGCAATAGAAATAAATATTGCAATTGTTTTTCAAAATTTGTTTTTATCGTTGTTTTCATTGAGTTTTGATTACTATTATATAAAGTTGTTTTGTGACCGGAAAGTGGTACCGAAAGCCGTAGTAGTAACGCAACCACTGGTTACACACACGTGCGGTAAATAGTGAAATGACACAATCAGACAACTCTTTGACCGCCGTTGGCGTCGACAAAGAAAACACTGATTATTCGTCGCTCAGATTCAGTGATATTTTATTCACGGATAGCGATGGTCTTGGCCTGAGGTTTGCTATGCGGCCGTGTCATCAACGACGAGCCGTACGGACACTTGTGGAACGCGGCGGCGGACATATGGTGTCGAACACGGGCTACGCTTCCGATAGTATTAATTTGGTTACCGTTGACGCCAACATCAGTGACCACCACCAGACCGATAGCCAATACTATTATATGACTTATGTATTGGACTCGTGTAAGGCCAACGAGTTGTTGGCTATAAACACCTACGAAGTGTTGCCGACCGCAGATGAAAGTGATCATAACGTAATTGAAAATATATTAACAAATGAAGTGCCGCCGAAGCCATCTTCATCATCACTGCCGCCGACGATGACTAGCGAAGAAACAGAAGAGTCTGGAAATAAAGTCGACGACAATGTTGTGGACAACGATAGCTATGACGAAGAGTTTGCAGACGTTGACGAAGTGATTGCGCCTGAAAAACAGTTATCAGCGGCAAAAACATTCTTCAATTCCTATTTGGCTTATATTCAAAGTGGAGAGACATCAACACCAGATCGTCTGATCCAAATCAAGAGTGCACTGAAAGCCAATGCTGACCATCAAAATAAAGAGAAGCAAAATAAAAATCCATTGAAAGTCAAACATACTTTCGGATCAAAGATCTTACGGAAGACTCGAAACGATAGACTAAAACAAACGAGTCCTTCGCAAGAATCTGGTTATCGTGTCAGCGATATATCGTCCGGTGAATTATCAGACAAAGAGCTAAGTGATAGTGACAGCAGTGTTGTCACCGCTACGAGTCGTACACAACAAAAGACTACTACAGTTATTAATATGAAACAAAAGACAAACAAACCGATTGTCACACAAATAAAGTTACCGTTGAATCCAATGAAAACTAATTCATTGTATACACTGTCAGAAGATGAGGCTATTCTCGAGTTTATTATTAAGTCTAATCGTTTGGATGAACTTCGAGGAAAAGTTCTTTGGGAAGAAGCGGAAACAAATGATGTCTGTATCGGCAGAAGTTGGCAGTCGATGAAAGAGCGGTTCAAAAAGAAAATAATGCCTGAAATCGATGAATACGATATACTCAGTAAAAAAGATAGACAACGACTGAAAACTAATTACTACTCAGAAAAGGTTAGTGACTCGAAACTGCCGCCAGTGGTCGGCGCTTATTCAGAGGCTGAGGACAAACATATATTGAATCAGATAATCAGTAAAAGAGGATTCGATGTCGTCAAAGGAAATAAGTTTTGGAGAGATTTTGTGGATGACTTTAATAGAAAAACTAGTGGTCAGTCCCGTACCTGGCAATCACTGAAGGAACGGTATCTGAAAAGGGTTGGACCCAATCTATATAAATATCAAATAAAACCAGAGATTGCAACAAAAATGTTAAACTCATTGCCAAACTTATCTGATTCGGAGAAGAGCCAAATATTAAAGAAATGCCAAATGGCAATAAAAAAAAGTATGGATCAGCCATTGGATCCCAAAAAGACTACAAAGAAACGTAAAGATGATGATAGCAGTGGTGGTAGTGTTAGTGCAGATCGTCCGTCATCTGCCAAACGCCAGCCCAAAGAAAGTTTGCCGAAAGAATCTGTTGTGACAACAGCTGCCACTACTGTTGAGGATAATAGTAGTGATGTTAGAGACAAAACTGTTAGGAAAATCATAACTCGTTCTCAAAGACGAATGAAATAATAGTTTATATATTTTTTTGTTTTAATATCCAATTATTATAAAATTGTATTTGTTATCAATAATCATAAGTACCGTAATATATCTACTGTATATCAATGTTTGTATAAAAAACCAATTGTTGTAAATGTTATCAATATTTAAAAATAAATAATCAATAATATTCAAAAATAATATAAAACAATATTTTTGCCTGTTTTATGCTATATATTGAGAAATATTTACCTTTTATGTATTTACTTTTTAAAATTTATTGAAATTAATTTTTAATTAAGAAAAATAAAAAGGTATACTTTTTAAAAAATTTAATTTTAAAGTAAATAAAATATAGATTTATAATAAAATATTTTTTAATTATATATACAAATAATTTTGTGTAATAAATGAATTTCTCTCTCTCTCTCTCTCTCTCTCTCTCTCTCTGTCTGTCTCGAAGTTTATGGTAATATAATATTAATAATATATTCAAAAATTAAAACTAATTTTGTTTATTCAGTGATCCAATGTTATTTTTTTAAGCTTATGTGCCAAATAGTACACGAGTTCAAATCCATTGGTAGTATAAATAAATTTTATTATTTAATTATGTTTTATTTCTTAAATTAAAAATTATAATTATTAACAAAAATAATTACCGTAATCATAAATTATTTAAAACATCTATAAAACTTTTGTTAAATTTATAGATATAAATTTGTACTTTTGTACTAACAGTTGTGTTTAATATTTTCTAATAACAAAAAATTATATACAATTGTTTTCTCTGCTGATTACAGGAATCTCTTGATTAGAAAATTGTGTAAAAAATAAATATTTATCTACTTTTTCATAATTTTGTGTTGTTGTGTGCGAACCGGTTCACTACACCTACAGTTCGGTAGCTGACAGCACGGCTGAAGCCATGGCCGCCAAACCGATTGCCAAAAATCAAACTGTGAAGGAACCCGATCTACTGTATGGTCGTGCGCTTCGATAGCTCTGGCGATTTCCTTCACTATGAGACTATGTCTTTCATTTGACAATACGTCCAGTGGATAGTCTTCGTAGGGATCGTTGGCCAGATTGAAAACTAATGGCGGATCGTAGAGAACAACGTGAGGTTCAAAGCACATACACATAAACTGACACTTGTATTCACCGGTCGACCGGAACTTTGGTCGATAAAAATACAGTTTCCAAATGTGATCCCTGTCCTCCATATAGCGAACACCGTGCAGATAAGTACCACAATAATGAAACAGAAATTTGTGTKGACTCGCATCAGTTGCTGTTTTTGGCTGCAAAAGCAATGACAGAATATTTTTGCCATCAATTATACGATCACTTGGCACAGGAATGTTAGTTATTTTATGAATTGTTGTATAAATATCCATTTGACTCGTTGGCACCGATATGACTGTTTTTGCTGGTATTTTGTTTGGCCACATGATGGCCGTTGGCACCCGAATGCCGCCTTCCATAGCGCCGTGACCTTTACCGCCTGTTTTTTGAAAATTAATAATTTAAAAACCATTGGTCACAATATACAGTGTATATACCGAACCTTTAAATAAACCATTATAACCGCCTTCCTTTTCACCATCAATGCCGACCTCTTCAAGATGTCCACCATTGTCACTACTAAAATAGACAAACGTATTGTCACGCAAATTGTTATTCTTGAGAAAGTCCAATATTCTTCCGACTCCGGAATCCATTTCGAGGACACAGTCGCCATACTTTCCGTAACCACTTTTGCCTTTGAATGGATTGCTGGGAAAGTGAGCTTTAAAATAATGATTTATTCAACAAAATTAGTATTTTTTAATAATTAAAAATAACGTATACCTGAGTGAACTTTTACAAAGTTTAAGACTACAAGAAACGGTTTGTTTTGCACCGTTTGGTTCACAATGAACTCCTGGGCCTCATTGACCAACCGGTCGGTAATGCCTTCCAATTGAATGGGCTGTTCAATGACTTGTGTGCCGCGCATGAGAACCGAATTAATTGTTTTAATGCTTTTCTGGACAACCAGTGCCAGCATTGGCACAATGATTAAGAATATGATTATAAGTAGTGATAGTTTGTGATATTTTTTGGCAAATGTGATGAATGCAAGTGTTAGACCTATTGCTGCTATAGTAGCTAACAATGCAGTGAATTGTGGAAAGTATGACTTGACGACCGAAGCGCCATCATTGCCAAAATCCTTGAGATTAGTCAATGGGAGACCATAAAAATGGTCAAAACCGTGATTTAGCGGATGATGACAGGCATCGCCTAAGGCGTCGCAGTCGTTACCCAAATGCCATTTACCGATCAAAGCGGTTCCATAATTGTTTTGCTGAAGTGTTTTAGCAAATGTTGTTTCATTGGTTGGCAGACCTCCTTTGGCCGCAACAAATAGAAATACCCGATTTCTGGCCGCTGAAGCCATACCTTTACAGAAAAACAAATGTTTTGTCAAATAACCTGTGGTGTGTGTGTGATATACCTGTGCGTATGGGATACCTTCCCGTCAGGAATGCACTCCGACTGGGCGTACAAACAGATGCGGCAGTCAAGTGATGGGTAAGAAGTGCTCCTTCATTGCCAATGCGGTCAATGTTTGCAGTATTAAGTGATGTGTTGCCAAAAGAGCTGACATCGCCAATACCCAAGTCATCGGCAATTAATATAACAAAATTAGGTTTCGCATTATCATCACTTGTTTCACCACAGATATCAACACTCAATTGGCAAATAATTACCACAAACAGGAAAACCTTTATATGAAAAAAAATTGGGAAACAATTTAAATCATTTATTTATTTGTTTTTCTTATCTAAATATTAAAAACATTTATTATGATAATAATAATAACTACTGTATAAACAAACACATAATTAAATTAAGATTTAGTATTGTTTAAAAAATGAAGTGAATCTATATATCAATCAACATAAAGAATGTCATTAAAACAATCAATTATTTCTTAGGTCGGATCTCTTGCAAGAATTTCATGTGTTTCTGCATAATATCCTTGACGTCGTCTTTGGCCGGTCTCTGTATCTTATCGTCAAACTCGTGGCCGACTGTCCAAAGTGTTTCGATGTCATAGTTATCGCGAGTCGATTTCATAAACAGATGCATTACTATGTTCTTCATATCAACCACTTTCCAGTCGTCACTGGGTTTGCCACCAAAGTCAACAAACGGATCAGTCGGATGTTTCTTCATTTTGTAGACTTTGTTAAAGTATTCAATAAATGCCTAATCAGATGAACAACAAAACTGTAAGTAAAAACACAAAAACCATTTTCCAAGAGTCAAGAGTTTAATACATTTAAATGTCGTTTTGATTTGGCGTTGGATAAGACCATGTATTGACAGTAATTGAGTTCTTCAGGCACTTCTATGACAGCAATTTCAGTCATGTTTTCGTTGCGCAACAATTGAACCAAATCGTGAATATCAAAGACACCATTGACTCCTCTMTGAAGATTTGGCTCTACTTTCTTCAACTTTTTAGGCTTTTGTCTAAACAAATATAATTCATTTTGTTGTTGTTGTAGTTCTGCTTCAAACTCTGGAACAGTCACTTCCGAGCTATCATTCTTGTTGTTGTTGCGAATGTCATCAATGAATGATTCTTCTGATACGTCGTAAATCACTTCCGTGTCATCGTCTCTATACTCCTTAAACTTTGATTTTGTCGATGCCATCAACTCTCTGCCATCGTTTGTTGTCAATGACACTGTTTCTTCACTATTGTTGTTAATATCATCCAATGATGTTGTGGTCGATGATGTCTTGCTTGACATCAATCGTATGTGATTTAAACGATTATTACAAAACTCATTATTTAATGTCTGAATTTTGTTGAAGACATGCAGTCTATTGGTGACCTGTTTGGCTGATATAGTCAGCCACCGATGGACACAATAACACCGATTAATGTTACTTACGTTGTAATAATATGCTGTTGTTGTTGATGACAATAGAGGCGATCGGATCCATACTTTGAGCGATGATAATGACATGACTTGTTTGATGAGACCATTTGATTGCATAATACATACAAACACTTACTTTTCAATACATACTGTATATATGTTTCACATGTTTTTGTAAACACAATGATTGCAATGCATTACCAAAACTAATGTTAGTTTTTTGCAAACATAAAGTTTGCGATCAAATTATAAGTTAAGTTAATATTTTGTATAAGTTTTTGTATAACTTATTTTTTTATATAAATTTTAATTTTAATTAATATTTAATATATCTATAAATTATTTATTGAATTAAAGGATTATTTTTGTCCAGTTTTTAATATGCAATATTTGTAATTTACATTATTTTAATTAATATTTAATTAATATAACTTAGTAAAAATTATTATATTTTATAGTAAAGTTAAATATATTTATTTTTGGTTTTTTTTTGTAAATTACATTCAATAAATTCAAGTATTAATAGTTTTGTTAATTTATAATTCTTTTAAAAGATTTTTTAAAATTTAGATTAAGACTAATTTCTAAATTAAGACTAATTATTATAAATATATATCAATTAATGTTTTTTAAAAGAATTTTAGTAATATTTTTATTAGTTGAGGATTTTATAAAAGCAAAAAAACTAAACGTTACGAAAATCTTGATTTTTACAACAAATACTTAATCAATAAGTTATTGAAAAAATTGAACACAAATTTTTTAAAACAAATCATATAACAAAGTTGAAGAGAAAGATAAATTTTTTAATCATATTTAGTGACCATCAAAGTGATAGACCATAAAAATGACATACCATCACCATTACCTCATAAGTCATAAGATTCTTTATTAGACTTTGTTTTGTGGGGCAGCGGGTTCTGATTTCTGTATGATTTGTCCTCCTTTGGGCTGTTGTTGTTGTTGAGCCATAGTATTGGCCACATGTGCGGCACCAAAACATGCAGCACCGGTACAGCACATGACGACGAGGACTACGCCACAGATGCAGGCAATAACCAAGACAATCGTGAAGATGACCAAACCGATGAAAATATTGGAAGATGTGTCAAATGCCTTTTCAAAGAAACCTTTAGCCACTTCCTCGTGAGATTGGGTTGTCGGGTCAGCATAACTGTAATCATATCATATAAAAGTTGTTTAACTAATTAGTAATAAGTTTATCTATTAATGGGAACTATTAGGTCAAAGAATTATCTATTATTATCAAATACTTCATTGAAATCAACTGAACGATAATAACAAACAATACAATCAATCGGTTCATTGATTTTCGGCCAATACTAGTAGTAATAGTAGCGGTAGTGATGGTCATTGTAATTGTGTAGTGATTGAACTCAAATAAATTGATATAATTTTTAACAACTTTGAGGACTAATTTGAAAGTTATGTATATACCGTTTGATTGATAAATGTGTATAATATTTGATTATTATAAGTTTAAATTTGAAATTGAATATAAACTGCAAAAAATCAATAAATTTTTTGAATTACTAATACATTCAGGGCTTCGGTTACCTTTGGGGGCTTCGCTTTTAACATTATTGTCGCCTTCAATACAACACTGTATTAAATGCATTGATTTAACATCACACACACAAAACACCCACCTACTCCCCAAACTAACCCAAATATAAGGAATTATCAATGCTTTTATATGATATTTAAAAAATAATGTAAAAAGCGAATCCACAAAGGTAACTAAAGCCCTGATTATATTAATAATTCAAAAAATTTATTGATTTATTATAATTTGTATTCAAATTCAAATTTAAACATATAATATACACATTTATCAATAGTTTAGTATTAATTTAAATTTCACGTAAAAACAAAGTTTATTATAAAAAAAACGCGCGAGACTTATGCGCAATCAAAAAAATGATGTAATTCTAGAATATTGTTTATCTATTAATACAGATAAATAGATTTCAAAAATAAATGATTTATTTTAATAATTGAATAATAACTAAAACAATGAAAACATTGGTTGTCATAATTTTGTTTGTCATCATCATTGGACTCAATGGCATATCGGATGCCAAACAATTAAAACTAGTGTTTGCGGTACTATATTATCATTTCACCTGATATTTTATATAAAGTTTAAAATAAAAATCATTTTTTTCCAAAGATTTTTAGACACGGCGACAGAACACCAGTGGCAACATATCCGACAGATCCGTATACTGATGAATCAAAATACTGGCCCGACGGCTACGGTCAATTGATCCAGGTGCGTCCAGGTTAGGTAGTATAAATTATTGTATTAGTTAATCTCTGGTTAAACATAACAGAGTGGAAAACAGCGCATGTATTCATTGGGCAAATATATGCGCAAACGGTATAAAAGTTTTTTGGGTCAATCTATCCGTGAGGTATGGATCAGGAGTTCCCAACGGGACAGATGTCTTAACAGTGCTTTATTGGTTATGGCCGGACTCTATCCCCCTACTGGTCGTTGGAAATGGGGCAGAGATTTGGGAAATGTTTGGCAACCGGTACCGGTAAATACAGTTGAATTTGCCAAAGATAGTGTACGTATCGGGTATTATAAAAAATGTGTTTTAAAAAAACTAATTGATTTTCATCACGAAATTAGATGTTAAATCCCGATTCCGACTGTCCCGTTGCTAAGAGAGAAGAATATATAATTAGTAAATCAAAAGATGTCCAAAATTTATTCAAAAAACATAAGGTTTGGTTATTATTATGCTTTTAAATAATTTAATAATAATTTTGTAACTTAATTGTGAATTCAGAGATTAGTGAATTATATTGCAACCAAAACGGGTCTCAAATTCAAAGATCACGGTACAGGACGGGATCTCTACAATAACTTACAGATAGTACAGACACACAACCATATGTTACCCAATTGGACTAACAGTGAAGTGATGGAGTGTCTCAAAGAGTTTCATGAAATGTCATTTTTGTTTGACTCGTCCACACAATTGATTAGAAAATTAAGAGCCGGTATTTGTAAAACACTCTTAAAGCAAATAAAACAAATAAATATATTTCAATAATTTTCAGGACAACTGTTAAAAGATATTAGGTATCGGTTGAAACAATTTATTGCCAGCAAAGAGAAGTTTAAACACAAATTGTTTATATACTCAACTGTAAGTTATATTTATTTAATGATTAATTAAATTGATGTTTTTTGTTGATATTTGATGATTAATTGAATTGTTGTTTAAACTGACGATAAAACCTATTTTTTGTTGACCAGCACGACACCCAACTATCGGTATTCTTGAGGTCACTCGACATCTACAACAATATGTCTCCACCATATGGTTTGATATCTAATTGTAGGATAAATTTATAATAGTTTAATCTGTTTTTTCAATTGATTTTATCATAAGGATCGACCATTTTTATAGAATTATACGATTTGCAGACAAAGACTTCTAAAAAAAAGTCAGTCTTTGAACTGGAAGTTCATTATCTAAATGATACCAAATCGGAGAAGCCGTATGAACTGCCGGTGAAAATGTGTCAAAAAGCAAATAAAACAATCTGTGAATTGAATAACTTTTTCTCCGTAACTAAGAATCTAATTGTCAACAATTGGGAACAGGAGTGTCAGGAAAGCTATTTGTCGTCGATTTTTAAGTTTGAACTTTAAAGTGTTTATTTTTATGTTTATTTTTTTGTAGTGATTTCAAATAAATTGTTTTATTTTTTTAACTAAAAATATGATAATGATATTTCACTCATCGGTAATAAATTATTGCACTAAAATATTGCAGTTAAAATATATTTAAAAATATTTTTTCAAATAATAATTGCCGGTAACATAATTATTAGAAATAAATCTTTATAATTGTATAGCAAATAACTACTGGTAATTAAAATTACAAATAAAAGCCAATTCGTAAAACAATTTGGCTTTAATATCATCTCAATAATCAGTTTCATATAAATTAAATTTTTATTAACACTTATTTTAAATATACAAAAAATTTGATAATAATTTATAATATTTATCAATACAATTAACAAATTTTTATTTAAGTAAAATCAAAGATCGATATAATCGCAAACATYTCTCATTTGAATACACCGTTGGATCCAATTTTCATCGACAATATGAAACTTTCGTTCATTTTTTCTGTTAATTTTCTTGAAATATTCTCTTCGTTTGGTGTTTAATATGACGACATGCGATGGCATTGTCGCTAAACTCTGGACAACTGTCGCCCCATAAAATCGTAATACCGATTGCCAGTACTTGATATAAATATCTTGACAATTAAAGTGGTTGTTGTTATGTTGGTTATCAACATAAATGGTAACTGTTCTCAAGAAACTTGATTGCCGCTCATCGGGCCAATACTCAAACTCAATGTCGGCAATCTCTTTATTGGACAATGGCTTCAAATCAATGTTCACTATCTTATCGAACAACTCTCGGAGCTCTAACTCATATATCGGTTCGGTATAGGAATCGCCATATTTATCAAATGATTCACTCATTTTGTTTTTAGTATCATTGGTCTGATTCCACAAATCACTCGGAATCCAATTCAACAGTTTATTTTCAGAAACACATCTATCGATCCATTGATGTCTAACAATATCATATTTACCGCACTTCACGTGCCTTTTGACAGCAATTGTATCACAATTATCAGCTATAATACAAAATGTTTTGTTTACCGCCGGACTAGCAGTCACTGTACCACCGTTTTCAATGATAATTCTTTCATATTTTTGTTTTAGTGGCGCATCTTTGAAGGGAATGACACAAAACTCTTTGTCAGCAAACAGATCACGTCTGACACTAACATCTGAACAGTCGGCCAATTGGTAAAGACTAGAAATGGTTGGCCTATCTATAACTCGTTTGCGTTTCTTTTCTGGTTCATCATTAACCTCGTAGTCCAATGTATTGGCCAGAGATCCGCGGGCTCTCATCTGCTCCATATCGGCGACACTCATACACTGATGCCATTCCTTGTCGTCTCTAATCTTCATAACTCGCGGAAACCGAAAAGTAATGTTCGGATAATCGCCGTTCGAGTCCATAATCTCTGCGGCCTTGACCTGCAAGATAACCGAGTTCTTAGGCTCGATCCAGACATCGGGTTTCATTCGGCCGAATTCAAAAATCTGTGGACACTTTTTCCTGTCTAATGTTTTCCAATGATCTTTGAATCGGTTCTGCAGTTTTCTCAACTCTTCATTAGTATAGCCGGTTCCGACGCGACATACACTCAAAAATTTCGACGGAGTATCTGAATCTGAATCGCTATTATTTTTAACTCCGAGTAAAAAGTGTGAAACACCTCCGCGATCGCCATAACAGCCACCAATAATCAACAGATCCAACTCATCCATCAATCCGTCGATATAATCGGGCTTCAGTTTAAGCCAACCGCCGCCGTGACGCTTGTTTAGCTTATAAACTGATTCACTTAACTTAATAATAATACCTTCTTCTTGTCTATCGATGGCCGCATTCATTGAATCAATGATTTCCTCTTTAGTCTCACAAAGTCGCCGTTCACCAATCGTAAGTCTTGTGTTTATCGGTTTAATAATACTTTCTAATAATCTAATCCTTTCGGCCAACGGGTTTCCAGTCATTACTTTGCCGTTAAGATACAAGACATCGAAAACAACATAATACGGATGTTTATCACCGGTGCCATCAGTCAGACGTTTGACATCAAAATTAGGTTCAGTTTGTAGTAGCAATCGATCAGTACTTATTTGATAAGCCATCATTTCGCCATCCAATATACAATCGACAACACTGTCATCGAATCCATGGACAATATACGGCGTTAGCGATTGATTGAAAGCATCGGAAAAATCATTACAATTACGGCTAAAATACTTAAACGTTTGACGAGATTTGTGTAATTGAAATCTCTGGCCATCGTATTTGAGTTCAATAAAGAACAGCTTATCATTGATTAAGCGATTGATTGTCTTGAGTTTAACTCTTTCGGAGAGCATCGGCGAAAAAGGTGAAAACAATTGTATACATTTGACACTCAATGGTACAGTCGGATCAGATAAGTCGGTGCAGACTTTCTGCAAGTTGTGAATGGTATCGAAATATTCAATAGCGTCGGGATGATAGGCATTCATTATGGAAGTATCGCCGATACCGAGACTCATGTCTTTCAGTATAATCCGTACCAACCATTTGTTTTCCAATGCTGTCATATTGTTGATCAATTTGGTCAACACTTCGTCAGCATCGGAGGCACGGTTTTCTTCGAACGAACGGGCAATTCGGTCCAACTCTCTGTTCACTTCCTCGAGAGTAATACTGCCATCAATAACACGCGATCTTCGGGTCATTACTTCGTACAAAACATTGGCAAAGTCTTTCAACGAATTATTCGGGTCTTTATTGAATGTCATCAACTTCTTGGCGTCGTCTGACTCGCGATTCAAACTCAATATTTTTATATATTTTTGTCTCAGTTTATCCACTTTCAGACCGTATGCACTGCGACCTGAATTCTGGTCAACACCGGCTGTAGACGATTGGCTTCTAATGCTATTATCAGCGGTGATAGAAACAGCTTCATCAGCGGCGGCTATACTGTACGTCTTGACGTCCTTATGCGGACACATCAACCGTAGGGCTGAATAGAAACAGTCGTCGGGATGTGTAGACTGTCGGCGCCACCAATCGATAAACTTCTTGAGAATCGMTTTCTTATCGTTCTTTGATTTTTTCGATTCAATTTTGTCGCACACTTTGCAAAAGTCGACAAACTTCGTCGTCGAGGCCACCGATGACTGACCATTAGTGGCCAAAACTACTGCTGAAGACGACGACATTATAACTGTGAACTTGTCTTATAAAAAGCGATCAATTGATGAATAGAGACAATAATAGGACACAAAAATTGATGTCTTGTTTTCATAACATAACAGAAGTGGTGTTTGTTTTCTGTTTCATAATATGTATGCAATGCGTGTCACGTGTTATAAGTTGCGCCCAATCCGTAGCGCACGCGTCACGCGTGACATCACTAGTGATTGCATATGATTTTTAAAAGACATACCAATCATATCATATATCATATAATAGTTGATCCCGATTTGGACACATGAAGCCCACCGCACGAAACAAACCCAAATCCAAGACGAGTACAGTTAAGACTGTCGCTAATAGTGGTGTTAAACGTAAGCGAAAGTCCACCGAAATTGTTGTCTCTGATGTCCACTCGCGTGGACACATCAAAGCCAAACGTTCCGCGAAACCTATGAATAGACTATCGGCTGATTTCTTCAACAATAAATCGTGTGTCGATTTGGCAAAAGCACTGTTAGGACAAATACTGTGCCGACGGCTGTCACCAAACGGCCAAACGCTTAAAGCAACTATTGTCGAAACTGAAGCCTATTTGGGTGCCGAAGACAAGGCCAGCGCCACATACAATGGCCGCCGCACTGAACATTTGGAACCGCTTTACATGACTCGCGGTACGTGTTTCGTGTACATGACTTATGGTATGTATCACTGTATGAACTTGTCTGCTGATGGCAATGGCAATGCTGTACTCCTAAGAGCTGTCCAACCGATTGACGGTTTGGATCAAATGCAGAGTTTGAGAGCCAAATGTCGTAAGACTGGTACTGATACACCCTATAAGCAGACATTGTTAGCCAATGGGCCCTCCAAGTTATGTATGGCAATGGACATCGATCGACACAATATCAACAAAGTTAATATTACCGACAGTGAACTTATTTGGCTGGAAACCGGTTCTACCGTTTCCGATGACGACATTGTTTGCACCAAACGGATAGGTATTGATAGGGCTAAGGAATGGGCTAATAAACCGTTGAGGTTTTACATCAAAGATAATGAATATATTAGTAAAAAGTAATTCAAAAAAATGGTTTTTTATTGGTATTACATAATAAAATTAATTTTGATATAAAAAAATCAATTATAAGTTGTTATTAACTAATATTTGTTTTTAAACCTTAATTTTGTTTGTGTGTTGTTTTTTCTTATGTTTGGATTTAGTTTTATTATTATTATTATTATTCTTCAATTTATTGGCCCAACAATAGGGAAACGTAGCCGTAGTTCTCAGATAATGACTGCCCAAACTTCTAGACAATACGCTTAGATAGCCCATAATGGCCACACCTATAGAGTCGCTACAGGTGCCCGATATGAATTCGTGCCATGAATTGCACTTGAATGCATACATTGAACAATTAATCTGACCCCTAAGCGATGACTCCATATAATAGAGTGCCATATTATGGTCGCATGTGATCGAAACGGGCTGTTTTTGGCACCGGGGCTGTTGAGTGCCATTATTCGGGTAAAAATCCATGTGTGCAAACGGCCCGATATAACCGACCTTTCCTTTGAGTATATTGCTACCGGCGCTCGTATGTATGGCGTCCACAAAATAGGCGTCCGCTTTGGTCAGATGAGCGCCAGGAAAACCTTCGAATAGTGGTCCGGCCGCGTCCAGTGCTATAATTGGGGTTAAATGTCAATTAAAATTCAAATAACTTAATACTGTCTAGTAATGAGCACCTGTAATGCGGCCGAACTTCCAGTTGAACTTATTTTGTGAGTATTTTCCCGCAAACCCGGCCACATGTGCTCCCAAACTGAAGCCAATTAAATGTACACTAAAAGGATTGGTGCGGCCAATCATAGTCAACACATTAACAAAGTGTGCGATTTGTCGGCCAATCAATTGTGTATTGATGGCTGCATCGGCGTACCAGGGTGCCTGTGCGCCGCGACCCCAGTCCACAATTATTACTACCGGTGTGAATGAGTACTCTAACAGAGAATCCTTTAGGGTCACAATTTCAGTTTTGTTTGCATCGTTGGCAAACCCATGGATCAGTACCACCAGTGACGGTTCCTGTGCCACATATAACATCTGATATTGTAGTTTGGGATTGATTTCGACACCAATTTTAGGCGACGCCCGCATAAAAGCAAAAAATCTGGTCTGGATTTTTTCTGGTGTGGCCGGCAATGTGCCGATGTGTTTCATGGGTCCGTTACGAACAAAACACTCCAACTCTTCATAGCAAACATAACTGGGAATCTCTGGTGTCGTTTCATATGTCTGTGCCCTCAGATGTTGATGCAAACGATTATTGGTCATAACTGCTGCATCAATGGCTGCAACAATATCGTCGTTGTTGTTGATATCATCGGCAATAACCTGAAATATAATAGCAATTATTGTTGACTTATATAATGTACAAATTAGTAGTAATATTCTACAAATATTTGTGTATAATTTCATTGAATGTTTTTTAACAATAAAAAAATTACAGAATATTCTCTATTAAAACATTACTTTATATAATATGTGTATTGTATATTAACTATTTCTAATTGAGTAATTTAAATAATATTGTTTTTAAATCATTATAACAATATTTATTATATATATTTTTAATTTTGTAAATAATACAAAACAGTATAAAAATCGTTTAGAAAATAGGTGACACAAGTTTTTTTTAGATAATAACTTCATATATTTGAACTGAAACTGCATATAAATATTACTTTACATAATAACCACTTATTTATAAAATATTAAAATACCTGTATTTATAATTAATGTAAATATTAATATTTTTGTTATAATTTAATCTACCATACCTTCCTGTGCTAATAAACTTATGCCCTTTACTACAATTTTTTTGATAAATTTATCTTTTGTAGTTTTTGTAAAATTAAAATTTTAAAATGTAACAAGGCTATGAGCCATCCTGTATATATTAATACAATATAGTACTTTAGTTATAAATGTATGAGTTAGCAAAAAAAACATTATTGCAAATACTGTACATAAAATATTTTTATTACTAATTATTTTCTAGAAAAAACCTAGTCTCACCTTTTTATAAGCAATTTTTAGTATAATAGTTCCTTTAGTATAGTAGTAGACTAATGATAATACTAATAATAAATTGTGTATTTTTTTAAAAAAGTAATAAAAATTAATTGAAAACATATGAATGAAACTTAAATGTTTAAATAATTTGTCGTTAGTTTATTGTAGATACAAGTGTTTCTCACATTTGTTAAACAAAAAAAAATCAATTAAAACTTAGATCAGATTTGATTTCAATGAGTTAAACAACAACTAGTATTAGGTAATCATTATTGATAAATAAAAATATAATATCACATAAAAAGTGATAATCTTTATTTTATTAAATATTGTTTATAATTTTGTTTATAAATAATTATAAATAATTACCTGTAATATAAATTTTACAAATTTTTTCATTTATAGGCCAATAGTTTAATGTTTGGATATGTTATAAAATTTATGATATCTTTTTTTATTGCTAACTGTCCATCAATATTGCTAACAAACAACATAAAACATATGCACTATAATCATCATCAATGGTTTAATCACTGATAATCAAAACTTTAGAGATCTTTAATCGTTATTATCATCGTTACAATCACTACTGTCGACACTTGTGTTGTTGTGGTCATCATCATTGTGACGATTAATCATACGTTCACTAATTGTCAAACCGATCATCTGATCCTTTAACTGTTGTAAACACTCGTCTTTGACATAGGGATAGGACAACGCATCCATTGTTTTCATTGTACTTCTATTGACATCTTTTTTATGGTCCAATTCTTCCGATGTTATCTCCGATTGGCAACTAATGTCGACTGCATTTTCTTTGTCGTCGCTATCATCTGGTTTTTTGCCGTACAAATGAATGTTTCCAAGAGCTGTCACAGTGTCTGTTGTCCGCAAATACACTGCTTCTTCGCTGATCTGTTGGCGCAAGTAATTGCTGACCGCCAGACACGACGGACTGCAAAACTTTTCCAATTCTTCTTTTCTGTAAACCTTATTCTTGTTTGTATCAATTTTGTACACTTGTTTAGCACCAAATCGTGACTTTCGTTGGCGACCAGTGGCCGCCCGAATAGTCGAGAGACTGTTACGGCACATCGGATAACCGCACTGATCGCACAGTGACCTCTCAGTACAAATGTCGTCATAGTGGCCGCGTGTAATGTAACGGCACCCGTTCAGCAAACGTGACTCATCAATAGTGGCCGATTTTTGGACATCATCATCGGTGGCCAGCATTGACTCGACAATGGCCAGACATCGCCGCTGATACTCGTTTTCGGGCCTAACTTTCGGTAGGGATTTGTCTGTTGTCGGTATTGTTTCGTCACTTTTTGTCACAGCTGTAGTGGTCTCCGTAGTAGTGGCCATGTATTTGATGGTCGCTTAATCGGCAATTAGTTTATAAATTTTTAAAAAATTAATTAAAAAAAATTGTCACAAAAAAAGTTATTTTTGTTTCGTAATTATAATACTATTTTTAAATCAAATATTTTGTTTTATTTATGATATCGTATATCACATGTGTATTATTGTATGACTTATATAACACTTATATAATAAACATTGTGTTTGAGTGTAACGTTATGTACGAAAAGTTTTCCACAAAAACCAAAACAAAAACATTTTGTTTATTAAATGTTAAGTAAAATAATATTAGAAAACAAAATAAAAACAATGAAACAGTTGTTAAAACATAAATTGTGTTATTCAGGTGATTGACCACTGATTGACCACTGATTGACCACTGATTGACCACTGATTGACCACTGATTGTCCGCTTAGTAGATGACTATCGGTTTGTCCCGAAACCAAACACGTAATTAGGTTGTAAATTACCCGATAGCAAACGGAAACAGCTTTTGGAAGCGCTTTAAGACATGGAATATTCGCCGATCAACTCGTGTGTGGCCGATATCGGCTCCAACATTGGCGCCGATCGGCAAACGGGTGTTTCGTGCGTAACGTTTGACACACACGAAGAGCTGCTATGGATGGGTAACGCTTCCGGCCATTTGACTTCATATTATTCATACACACTCGACAAGTATACCTCCTTTCATGTCGACCACAACAACGACATCCGCGATGTACTGACACCAGTGTCGGGCGTACTGGCGCTGACCAAAGACTCGCTACGACTGTCCAAACGGCGTGGACTGACAATCTTCACGCACAAGTCCGAGTTGTTGATGCGCGACATGCAATGCATGACTTTGTTGCCATCGGGCTTATTACTGATGGCCGGCCACCAGGAAAAGCTTATTGAACTGGACATCGAGCGGGTAAAACATGTACGGGTGACCGATATTGCAGAAAGCGGTTGCGTTATTATGAAACAGCACCCGCAGTTCGTGTGTTTGGCCGATCCTAATGGAAAGGTATTTGTATTTGTTTGAAGATATTCTTAAGATTACATATCATTTTGATGATCACCCGATAGATCACTCTTCGAGACACTGTTTCGCTTAAAATCCAACAGGAATTCCAGTCACACTCTATGTTGTCCTCTATCGATGTTTGCGGCAATTACTTGATTACTTGTGGCTTCTCGGAACGTCATGGCAACTATATAGCTGACCACTTCCTCATGTTGTACGACTTGCGCCAAATGAAGGCCGTGGCGCCCATACCGATGCCCAACTTTTCGCCGTATTTAATCAAATTTTTGCCCAAATTTGCGGCCAAATGCTGTGTAGTGTCCCAAACGGGTCAGTTTAATGTATTTGACGTCGGCGACTACTCCCAGCGCTATATTCATAGTATACAACTACCACCTACCGGTGCCTCCATAACCAGTCTTGATGTGTCCAGTACTGGCCAGGCATTGGCTTTCGGTGACGATCATAACTTTATATATTTGTACGGCGCGTGCGGCGAAGTGGACTTCAATATGAATAGTAAACAGACTGAATTTGCCGATCCTATAGAACCGGTACGTCCCGTTCCTATTACCGATCTCTGTACACCCGTATCGGAAATATCTCCATTTCCTTATTGGGCTGTAAATGACAAACTTTTGTCAGATTTGCCTCCCGATATGTGCCGAAAAACATATCGACCCGTTCCAGCCATTGATCCCGACATCTTGCGCACCATACGAATGGTCGGTTCCATTGGCTACGCACCAAATCAGGGCAAATCGCGACTACAAATGCGGACAGCCGTTACCGCAGACTCGGCTAACGGGTCGAAACGAAGTCAGTATAACAGTAAAGATTGAATTAATTTGTTTGCATTAAAATGTTTTGTTTTTTATTTTATATTTGACTTCCATTACCATCACCGAGAAGATAGTCCCGAAGACAACGAAATGCCGCATCGATACTACTTTCTGGAGCCCAACTACGACAAGATTGACAAAGACGAGTATGACTTTAGCCGCTATAATCACTCGCCGTTTGTCGGCCTCGATTCCACATTACCGAACTCGTACTCCAATAACATGATTCAGGCGCTGTACTTCATACGGCCTCTCTGTGCCGGTATTATGGGTCACGTATGCAAAAAGGAGTACTGTTTGGTCTGCGAATTGGGTTTTCTATTTCATATGTTAGACATATCGCCCAAACACACCCCCTGTATGGCCAATAACCTATTGCGTGCCTTCCGGACAATGCCTGAAGCTTCGGCACTGAATCTTATATTTCCCGACGACGAAACCATACGCAAGACTATTAACTACGTAAAACTCTCCCAACAGTGGCTGCGGTTCATATTGAGTCAGTTGGACTCTGAGGAAACCAAAAGTTCAAACGACGTGTTCGAGATATCGGGTGATGACCAGCAATCGAATGGCAACAAAAGTGATACAAAAACCTTATCGTCAGGTAGTGACCAACAAAGTACAACAACACAATCATTATCGTCATCTTCATCATCGTTTATCAACGACTTGTTTGCGTTATCATTATTACGTATTTATCAATGCAAATGTGATCACCAATGGGAACAGCCGCACAAGTCGTTTCCCATAACCTTAAGCTATCCGACCGACAATCTCAAGTGTACTGAATTTGTTGATCTACTCAAACACAGTGTACTAACCGAACAGACCATACAAACCTATTGCGAAAAGTGCGCCAAATATCAGCACGTCGTCGAACGGCGCGAAGCCAAGTCTATTCCACACATATTGGCCATCAATACTGGTCTGGACAACGAACAGGCTGTCCGATTCTGGAAGAATCAAGTGGACAGTATGTCAACGAATAATGATAGCACCAGATATGTGCCCACTAGTGTCCAGGAAATGCCAACACCAAAGAAGGCGTGTCGTTACGGAAACAATTGTAACAGAAGTGACTGCAAATTTTCGCACGAAAAGAACAAAGAGTCGACTAAAGATATTGTCTCTTGGATTCCATTGTCATTCGGTATAACTGTTGATGAAAATGACAAAATAGATTTCACGACGAGTTCGAAGACTAGTGAAACCGATTGTTTTATAGAGTATGAACTCATGTCTGTCACATCTGTAGTCAAGAAAAACGAGGCGCACATCAGTAACATTGTTAGCGCCATCCGAGTGGACAAAGAATACTTTGAACACCGATCAGCTACTGATGAATATCACAACAATTGGTTTCTATTTAATCATTATTCGATTAATCCCATAACTGTCGAAGAAGTTGTCTCCAATGATCTCCACTGGAAAGTGCCTTCAGTTTTGATTTATGTACGAAAAGATTTGAATCAATTGCATAGCAATTTGTTGGCGATGAACAATGCCGTAACTGAAGATGTTTTCGGCGAAGATCTGAATCTGGCGTCAAAAGCTCGACGCGGATCCATTTCGTTCACCCCGTTGACCATCGATGAGATGCCAAAGAAGGGTGATTTTGTTGCCATGGATGCCGAGTTTGTGACACTCAATCAGGAGGAGACCGAATTGCGAGCCGACGGGACTCGCAGTACAATAAAACCATCGCAGAAATCAGTTGCTCGTATATCGTGTGTACGCGGAAGTGGACCACTGGAAGGACAGCCATTTATTGATGACTATATCACCACTCAAGACCAAGTGGCCGATTATTTGACAAAATTTTCCGGTATACAACCGGGCGATCTGGAGGTTGGCATCTCATCCAAACATTTGACAACATTGAAGTCAACTTATATGAAACTTAGATTCCTGGTCGATACGGGTGTCATATTTGTCGGTCACGGTTTGCGTAACGATTTTCGTGTCATAAATCTGGTCGTACCGCCCGAACAGGTCATCGATACGGTATTCCTGTTTCAGTCGCCCAACTTTAAGCGTATGGTATCGTTGCGGTTCCTGGCCTGGCATTTCCTCGACATAACCATCCAATCGGAAACGCATGATTCGATTGAAGACGCAAAGACAGCTCTGTTGCTCTACAAGAAGTATTTAGAGCTGAAGGCACTCAATTGTACAGATGAGGCCATTGAAAATCTGTATGATGTCGGCCGTAATTCCGGGTGGCGGGTGCCCGGCAATGATGATTAGGGCATAATGTGATGATTGACTGACTGACTACTGTTTAAAATTGCATTATTTATGCAACTGATGTTGCATTTTGTGTGCGCATAAAATTTCTTTATGGAAATTACTTTCGTGAAAATTATTTTATTTTCAACTAATCATAAAACATTGAATAAAAAATTTAATTTATGTATTTACTATTAATTCATTGTTTAAATGGTTGTATTTTTTTATTGGAAAGTTATAAATACATAACTATTTATCATTATATGTATTGATTATATCGTATATGTATTTATTTATTATATTCATTTAAATTCTGTAAATCAAGTTTCAACAAGTTTTATATATTATATAAAAAAAATCAAAATAAATGTTTCAAAAATTATTTTGTTCTAACCCTATGACCCTTTGTTATCCTGTAATTGTTTATTAAATTGATGTATTGAATAAGTTTGTTGTTTAATATGTTTGAATTGCGGAATATTTACGGGTATCTCTTTGAGACCAATCATAACACCCGCTGATTGACTCATAACAAACTTTTCGAGTATATAGCGATTGAATGCCGACAACTGGGGTCTCAGTTCATCTACTGGTATCCACTGGCAATCATCCAACTCGTAGTTACATTTGCTTATTTCTAGACTACCCGACCCTTTCATCACAGAACCTAATGGTTTCAGATGACAAACCATGTAAATATCGCTACAGTCAAAGGCCAGCTTATGGATGTGTCGAAAGGCTATAACAGATTCAAACTGACAATCAATGCCTGTCTCTTCTCTGACCTCACGGATTGCTGTTTCACCAAATTCTTCGCCCTGAATAGAGTAACCGCCGGGAAATTTCCACATTTTAATTCCGAGATTATGTCTCTCTTTGACCACTAAAACCCGATTGTCTTTGTCGATGACTAATCCTCCTAAAAATAATTGCAAAAATTTGTGTTATTATAAATTTTTTAAAAATAAGATTATAATTTTTTTTTAAATTACCGACGCCTATGTTAGTGAAGGCATAGTCGGGCACATTCTTGGGCTCCGATGGCGACAACCACTTGTTCATCGATACATACTCTGTCTTTGTGTGATGAAAGACATAACCAAACTAATAGATATTTATATATATATATATATAAATAGATATAATAATAAATCTAATAACTCTTTGTATAAACAAATATATGACTAAACTTTAGCTAAAACGGGTAGAAAATGTGTCAATTGTAGGCCGACCTCGAACCATGAGCACCGGTATTTTTTTACCCAATCATCGAGTGCTTCTATAATAATAATAATAATAATATACTAATAATGAATATACTCTCTAATACTCATCTAATAGTCAATTATATGTCATTATTTGTTAAGTATATCTGACAAACCTTTTAGTGATAATTCAAACTCATCGACAGTAATATCTTTAAACTGTTTGACATCTTTGAGATTGACATGAAATCCTTGATATCTGTCGACTTCGCCGTTGAATATCATTGTCGATGTGGTTCTCAAACTATTTTGTGATGATTTAAATCTTAACAATAAATAGTATGTTTTATATGATTTATTAAACAAGGAATACATAAAAAATTATACATAAATATTATGTATTATAAACACGAGATTATTATATTAAAAAATATATTCTGATATATCATAATAAAACTTTTCAATAAAAATTATTAATCGCATAATGTATTAATTAATTAATTAATTGAATGCGAAAATAATTTTTGTAAACTCAGTTTAAAATACATAATTATATGAATTTTTAGTACTTAAAATGCACTTTAATATTTTAATACCATTTAAAACTATTTGTTTGATTTTAATGTAAACATTTTTGGTTAAATTATTAGATAATAATTTAATTGAACTGATTGGCTTAGCCATGTCACTCATACAAATATCACGTTTATATGTAGCTATATATCACATACAAACGTGCCGAATTTTAGACAATCAACATTACATTTGAATGACCCTTGTTTTACACGTCTAGATGGACTGATACTAATACATACATACAGTATACACCATTAACATAAATATAATATAAATAATACACCAAAAAATATATAATAAATTATTTTATTTAATGATTAAGATGTCAAATTAAATAGCATAAAAAAGTTACATATAGTTGAAAAAATATACAATTAGTGTGAACTGAGCGGTTCTAACAACTAATTACAGTTTGCAATTTAACCGCTTAGTTCACTAGTCGACGACATCCAATATCTAATATATCCATTACTTGATATATCGTTGAGTAGTCAATACGGCATGAGATATATTTAGTACTGTAATAACAATTAAAACAATTAGTGAGTACTTATACATATAATGTATATTAATAGCATAAATGCCTAACAGTTTGAACCGCTCAGTTCACTGTAGTAGACGACCCGATGTCTAACATATCCATTGCTTGATACAACATGAGAAAACTATTTAGTACTGTCATAACAATTAAAACAACAATTAGTGGGTGTTTATATGTATTTGCTATTAATGGTTAAAAATATCTCACATATCTCACCATTATATGTACAACAATAGCGTGAATGGCTAACAGTTTGAACCGCTCAGTTCACTGTAGTAGACGACATCCAATGTAACCAAAACAAAACTTGATAATAGTATACGGCATGAGATATCTATTTAGTACTGTTATAACAATTAAAACAACAATTAGTGAGCATTTTATACTTATGATACAGTACTTGATAATGTATACCACTTGTTAATGACTGCACACGTTGTCAACACTGTCAGCCATATTACATATGAACCGCTCAGTTGAATGTTATAATATATGACACTAGATGTCACTACATGTAATTATGTGTTTTATAACTAAAAATTACATTTCTACGTACCAAGATCATTCATACGTATATTTTCTGCTATCAGTGGTAACATACCTGGGGTGGATGTTATTATAAAGTGTTCACTTAAGTATAAGTTTACGTGTACACGTAAGTTATGTGAGAGCCGCGTTACCGTAAAGTTCGCGGACTCCACTTAAACGCAAACTATTCACGCAGTTTAGCGCATGTGTTTTTAAATAATTATTTTTAAAAAGTTGTAAAACTATGGACACAAAAACATCTCTAAGAGCGCCCAATTGGACATTAAAAGAAATTGAAGCTCTCATCGATGGATACCGACAAAAAGCCAATATCATCGACGGAAAGGTAAGTCGTATAGTGGTTAGTACCTTGCGTTGTGACCGCTAATATTTTTTATTTATAGTTTAATCCATCGCTTACAATGGCCAAAAAACAAGCGGCATATCAAGAGTTGGTCAACGAGATTAATGCCGTAGGATTTGCTGGTCGTCGGGATTTAAAACAAGTCAAGAAAAAACTTGAAGACCAGAAGACCAAAACCCGAGCAAAAGCCGCCAAAATTAAAAAATATAAAGCGGCTACTGGGGGTGGTCCTCCATGTGATACAAGCCTCGAACCACACGAAGAGGTACTTCTATCACTAATGAACCCTGAATTAGTTTCGGGAATAATGGATACTGGGACAGACAGTTCCGTTATCGAAACTAATTCAGAGTCATTAGAGATAGTTGTATCTCATATGGTTGATGAGGCAATTGTGTCACAATCGGAGACTTGTGACCAAAAGACACCGAAATCTCTTGGAATTAAACGAAAAAAGTTATTCCAAGAGAATATCGGCAGTCAAAAGGTCACATCAACACATGCCGAAGAATTGCTCAATATTGAGCAACAAAAAGTTGAGTTGAGCCGCAAAATGTTGGCAATTAAACGGCTCAAACTCCAAGTCCTAATCAAGGACTTGCAAACAAAAGGTTTAGATTTAGCCGAACAAGAAAAACAATTAAATAATTTATTTAATTAATTAATTATAAAACTATTTTTATTATTGATATTTTTTGTATTATATTTAATTAAAAAAATTTAAAACTATTTTTTATTTAATTTATTTAATTAGTAATAATAATAATAATAATAATAATAATAATAATAATAATAATAATAATAATAATAATAATAATAATAATAATAATAATAAATAACTAAAAATAAGACAGTAAATTAGCCCTTATTTCTAAACCGCGATTAGCGGTTCCACTATTGTAGGGCAAGTCATCATTAGTTGTGTCATCTTCATGACCAACTGCTTGTTCTCCATAAAAATGCATTTTTTGTGCTATATTATGGAGAACAAAACAGGCAATGATGACATTAACAGCCCTCTTTGGCCGGAACATCATTTTCCCTGCCGTCCAATCAAGACAGCGGAACCGCATTTTGAGCACACCAAAAGCCCGCTCTACCACATTGCGGGTTTTGGTGTGCGCCAGGTTATAATTAACCTGTGATGGCGTCGTTGGGTTGGTAAACGGCGTCATCAAATGCGGCTCAAGAGGGTATCCAGAGTCGCCCAACAACCAACCAATATCCGGGACTTGATCTAACTTTTGTTTGAGTCCACAGTTTCTCCATATAAAGGAGTCGTGGACTCGTCCCGGATAATTGGCCACAAGGTCTGTAAACCGGAGAGTGGAGTCGACCACTGCCTGTACGTTAATCGAATGAAATCCTTTTCGATTAACGTACGACGGTTCCACTTCTCCCGGTGGGGCCAATATCGGGATATGGGTGCCGTCTATGGCACCAATTATTCCCGGAAAACCGTTGAGGGAATAAAAACCTTGTTTTATTTCCCTCAATTCATTAGTTTCCGGGAACTTAATGTAGTCCCGAAAACGTTTGGCCAAACCTTCGGCCACATTATGGACCACAAGTGACATTGATTTAGTGCTAATGCCTATCGTGTCACCTGTGGCCCGAAAAAATGCGCCCTGCGCAAAAAAACGGAGCGCCGCGCAAACCTGCACCACAACGGGCAGTGATTGCGACCGCTTTGTTGGCCGCTGAAGTTCTTCGTTGAGGAGCACACATATATTGTGTACTCCTTGGCGATCGAGACGATATCTTTGGACACATTCTATGTCTGACATCGTCTCGAGAGGATTTTGGCGGTCGCGGAACCTTCGTGGTCTCCTGTCCATGTGATCACCGATGTCTTCATCGATGGCATCCAATAAAATAAATGACATTTTAATGTCTTCCGCTTGACAGTCGGGGATACTAACCACTATACTTAAATTAGGTATGTGTATCATATACTTTAAATATTTATTTATATGACACACTCATGTGTTTTCATAACACACTTTTCACTTTAAAACTAGTTTTTATCACTTAAGCTTTACCTTAACTTATGCGCAAACTTACTTTAGGCGTTGATAACACGCCCGCCTGTGCTTTTGGACATATTATCTGTATAGCCTACTACARGGAAAGGGAGCGATTTTTAAAAGTTATTGGAAAATATACAAATTGATTACAAAAAATAATTTAATATTCATTTACTAAAATTATTAAATATTATTTAAAAAGCATACAATTATACAACAAAAAATCTATATATATACTAAAAATTCTAATAGACTACAGTATATACTGCACTGTAATTTTAATTATTATATTTTTCTCTAGGTTAATTAATAATAATAATAATATAATATTAATAATAGGTTCGGGTAATCAATGAAAATAGTCTGAGACGGGTAATTACCGACTTTTTGAATGTATGAATAATTGTAATTTTTAAATAACACAATTGACATATAATTTATTTTATTAGACAAAAACTAATTACAGTAATATATATTTTTAATATATGTATGTCTTCTTTCAACCATTATTTCAATATATATATTATACTCTTCGGACTATTGCTGTCCGATTGTCCGTCAAAAGAGTTGTTGTTTTGATTCGTGATTTTCAGATTCATTGCCAGAATCATTGTCTTCTTCATGCGAATCATTGTTTACAGACTCATCTGATTGATTGTTGTCCACCGAAATGTTTTCAACAACTCTTTCATCTGCATTATTATCTATGACTCGGACTTCTCTCACTTGGAGTGTTACACTAATGTTGGTTACTCTGCCATTGAGTGCAGTTGTCACCTGATCTGATCCATATAATCGTCATTAATTATCTCATTGAGAGCACTGATATCTACTGTAGATCCAGTTTCGATAGTCGTATGTAAAGCTGTGGACTCTGCTCTCAATTTGTTGAATCTTTCATTTGTTTGTCGCCTACTGTCGTTTTGGTCATAGTATTGATCTCATTGTTAATAGTATTAAATGTATATATAGTTCTGTTTCTTTGTTGGATATTATGATTTCGGACAGAATTGACGACATGAAGTAAAAGAATTTGTGACAAATGTTTGGTGTGTTAACAACAATCGGTGTCCAATCTGTCGGCAAACCTATAGAAATATCGGAACAGCTTCGGCATATGTAACCCATTTGTTGTTGAAATTTTAAACGCATTAAAAATGACAATTTAACAATCTTTAGATACCAACTCTGATTTCCCGTTCCTCCCYTCCCACACACACCACTCCCTAACCATCTTTACTCACCATAACCTAACCTAAASTAATAAAATAGCATAAACTTGTCATAACTTAATGGTTATAACAGCGCGCGTGAAATTTCAACAACAAATGGGTTACATATTCAGATTTTTTATCGCTGTTTCTCTTATGAAAAACTTATTAAATTATGATTTTAATAGCGTTTAAAACTTGAACAACAAATGCGTTATACCATACAGTATACCAAAACTGTTTCGTTCGTTAACAATGTGTTGCACTTCAATGACATATTCTGCTACCGGTTGGCTATCATATTGATTATCAGATAATATATTGTAAATGATATTTCGGTTTCAGTTACCTTAGGGGGGCTTCGCTTTTAATATCGTTTTATATGTTATACCATTATATTGATAATACCCTTATATTTGGATTAGTTTGGGGGTTAGGAAGTGGTGATGGGATGGAGTGGGGTTAGGATGTGGTGAAAGTTAGTGTGGTTTGCTATGTTTTAAAGTATTTGTTTTTTAATTGAATTAAATAATAAAACTAAAGGAATAAATGTATTTTATAAGGACTCACCTAACCTAACCTTACTAAACTAACCTAAACTAAACTGTAATATAAGTAAATATCAACAATGTGAGTCCTTATAAAATACATTTATACCAAACTAAAATTTTATATATGTATAACTGCATAAAAATAATACTTTTTTTGATGGCTGTCTATAATATATCTATAATATATATTTTAAGCCGAATAAATTTAGTTGATTTCACGCGCTAATACTGTAGTTAAATCAATGCATTTAGTGTCAATCAATGCAGTGTTTTATTGAAGGCGATAATAATGTTAAAAGCGAAGTCCTCTAATGTAACCGAAGCCACCTTAGAGGCAGTTGTTAACAGACCAACGATGAAGACATTCATAGCAGAACTCATGCATACAGGTGTCAGTTAGCCAACGGTTGGACAAAAGTGTCCGACAAATAGGACATGGCTTCGGTTATCTTTGGGTGCTTCGCTATTATACATTATTTGTCGCATTCAATAAAACACTATTAAATGYATTGATTTAACTATTAGCGCGTGAAATGAACTAAACTTATTCAATTAAAAAAACAAATACTAATATAAATACATTAAAACATAGCAAACCATCCAAACTTTCAACACATCCTAACCCCACTTCATCCCATACCATCACCACTTCCTCACCTCACACACCCCACCCAACCTAACCCCAAACTAACCCAAATATAAGGGTATTATCAATATAATAGTATAGCATATAAAACCAATATTAAAAGCGAAGCCCCCCTAAGGTAACTAAAGCCAAGGACATCTCTTGGTATCTTTGGTCAGATCAACAATTTCTTTGACCTTTACATTATTATTGTTGTTTTTATCATCGGATGGACTCTTTTTGGACATAACTCCAATRTTTTGTTGTCTGCTTTATACAATTAAACAGATCAATACTAAATTCCTTAACCAATTGATTTTTATTTTAAAAATATTTTTTTTTATTTGTTAATTGTTATCAATTTACTATTAAATTCAATATTCAATATAATGTACTTTTTATATTTAAGTWTAAAATTGAAAATAAAATAATTTTAGTTTTAATTGTTKCCAATAACTCGAAAAACATCATTGAGAGCGAAYAGGTCCGTCTCGTACATCCAGAAGCTATATAGGCTATATAGATATATTGTATATGATATACGGTTAATAAAGCACTGTTAGGTAGACAATGAATAGATCCTATTTCAAACGTCCCAATCCGTACAATATAGCTAATAGACAAAGCAGACGACAACCAAAATCATCATCACATCAAAAGAACAAATCATCATCCAGTTGGTGGTGGACTTCTAGTACTGCTAATCCAATCAAATCAGTTGATCCATATGTAGATTTGTTGAACAGATTTGGCTCGTGGGGTAAGGTAGGCACACAATATACCCAACAGATACCATCGGGACAGGCACTGCCCGCTACAGAGTTAAAGCAGTGCACTGATAAAGGTATTACATTTATACGTATACTCGGCGCCGGAGGTTTTGGTACAGTATGGAAGTGTCGTCTATCTCAACCACTGTCCGACAGAACCGGTAAGACTGACTATACACAGTATGAAATGGCCGTCAAAATACTATCGATTGATAAATTCAAACGCAATCGTACGCCACAACAGGCCGTCAAACAAATGATGGAAGAGTATGATCTGCACAGAAGTCTGGACCACGAAAACCTTGTGCACTCAGAGGATGCCTTCCATGTTATGGATCAGACAACACAGTTCCCATATGTCCGACACCTGCACTTCATGGAGTTGTGTACCAATTGTCTGAGATCTTTACTAAATCAGAGTGAACTTTCTGAATCTCACGCCAAACAATGGTTCAAACAGGTCTCGATGGGACTCCAGTATCTGCACAATAGGGGCATTGCGCACATGGATATCAAGACGGCTAACATCCTATTCAAATTCCATTCGACTACTAATACCACTACATACAAGCTATCTGATTATGGCCTATCGGTAACAAATAATCAAATTGGCTATTTTGCAGGTACCCGTACGTTTGCTGCACCGGAACTATTCACAGCTACTAGGGCGGCACCGGTAGACACATTTAAGTGCGACATTTACAGTCTTGGATTGACTATTTGTGAAACCTTGATCGGCAAAAATCGTCAAAGTGAAGCCATGGCAGCTATTAAAAAGGTAAAAAATCCCAATCAGATGCTTCAAATAACCAGTAGACGTGCCAGTCCTAAACTACCAGTTAAAACATACAAGTTTGTCAATATGGTCTATTGGATGCTTACCGACGACCCAAACCTACGGCCTACCATCGATCAAGTAATTAATTGTCAATGGTTTCRGGAATCACCGTAAGCAGGTAAGCAATGGTAGGTAGGAATGCTAAGTAGGAATGGTAGGTATTATTATTATTTTTATTATGCATGTTTTTTTTAGTTCAGTAAATGTAATTTATATTTTTATTAATGTTATTATTTTTTAAATAGTTATTTTATGTGTTAGTTTTGAATTAACTTTATAACAATAAGTGTGAACAACGAAATTTGTATGTATTGAACAATTTACAAAAAACAAACATTAAATAGATTTTAAGTTTCAGTGGTAGGGATGAAAAGTAAAGTATAGATTACATGTTTATATTATATAAATCTAATCTAAACTTCCTGTATCTCAAATAATACTGTATATTTTCATTGAAAATCTTGATAAACTGCATATTAATGTAAGTATTGATGTATTTTATAATATATTTCAATTAATTCAATTTTTATAGTATTTTATAGTTTATTGCCATTAAATGAATCACTGAATCTCAAAACTGTGACAAATAAATGTCAAAACAAATTATACTGGTAATAAAAATTTATTTGTATTATAAATATATTAAATTTAAATATAAAAAAAATTTCAAATGTTATATACACAGAGTAAGTGCTAAATTCAATGAATCTTACTACAGTATAATTATAAGATTATTATTTAAAAAAAGCGATAAATAATTTAATGTAAAATAATAAATATACAATAATAATATTCAATAAACTGAATAATTTAAAATACATACTAAAAAAATAAGTACTAAAAACTTTAATAAATTTATTCAAACTCTATACTAAATCTATACTATTTGTCGGCTGAACTGAAAACCGAAAGAAAGAGAGGACACGAATCAACATATTATTTCTGTGTTGTTGTTGTTGTTGTTGTTGTTGATTACCACCACTAATATCACTGACAGTCAATTGTTGTTGATTTTGTGATTTAATCCGTTTGATGACAACTCTTCTGGTGTTTGTACAGTCTATGTATGACTTAATGTGATGATCGATACAGACGAAGAAGAGCCAAATGGAGACAATASTGAATAACAACAGCATTATTATGAATATACCGATATTTATGACAACAGTTACCATAAGTGTAGTCTTTTGCCACGTTATGCAACTCAACAAATATTGTGAACGAATAAATAATGGTATGATTGTGGCAAACGATAGGATGTCCAACAATAGGAACCGGAGATTACGGAAATGGCAGATCCAGTCGATAAAACATCCGTAAACCAACTTAACATCCATTTGAGTGCCGCATAACTCGCATCGATCAATATGACTGACAAGAAACCACTTTTCCATACATTTGTGGTGAACACTACCGACAGATCCGCGACAATCACAAAATGATTTTAAACGACCCGCAGATTTGTCTTCAAAACAGATGCGACAAAACGGCACTTCTTTTTCAGTASTGTTGGCCACAGTTTTGTTGATTGTTTTCATATGGATTTCTTCACACATTTTCACTGATACTACTAATTAAAATCTACTAATCAGTGAACAAATTGTTTTTATTTATTTATATTTGTCAGACAAATCATTCGTAATATATTTGTATTTTGTTACCGAATATAATACACAACAATATTRATAAATGAACAGTAATTGATTTAATTATAATTATTTGTTAAACAATACTATTGACGCTAAATATAAATCTCGAGATATTCATTAAAAAAATATTTATTAAAGTAATGATTATTAATTATAAAGGTTTGCAAAAAAAKTGYTGTTTTAACTAATATAAACTAACACRAGATTTATTTATTTAATAATGATTATGAAAAACTTGTAATTAATAATATAATGATTWTTTAATTGATTTTATAGTATGGTTGACCAGATAATAATCGGACAATATTTTTAACATTGAATAACATCTAATCTAATAATTTATAAAAGAAATCGGCCTAACCAAAGTTTAAGCCCGTACGAGAAAATTAATTTTTTTCAACAGAAAACAATTAATTAGGTCCTAATAAACATATATTGATCAAAAATATTGCGCGGAAAAACCTAAAACCTAACTAAAATTAAATCTAAATACCTGAGCTCACATAACAAAATAATACACTAATTATAACAAAAATTAATATAAATAAACATAAAGCGCGTGAATATTGTTATCAATGTCTATACCTGTATAATAAACAATATTATTATCTATACGACTATAAAAGTTAAAAATGTTTGTATGTATGTATGAATTTATCTGTCAATGTCCTCGCAACCTAATCTAATATTCAATACTAATTTAACCAAACCTATACAGTACTGGGTTACCGAATCAGTGTTTGTAATGTTACCTAACCTGGTGTTCGATCCGCAACCTTAACCTAATAATAATGGTATTACACAAATGTTAACTTAACCTAACCTAATATATTAGTGTTCGCTCCGTTACCTAACCTGGTGTTCGATCCGCAACCTTAACCTAATAATAATGGTATTACACAAATGTTAACTTAACCTAACCTAATATATTAGTGTTCGCTCCGTTACCTAACCTGGTGTTCGATCCGCAACCTTAACCTAATTATAATGGTATTACACAAATGTTAACTTAACCTAACCTAATGTATTAGTGTTTGCTCCGTTACCTAACCTGGTGTTCGATCCGCAACCTAACCTAATTTTCAAAGTAAACCTAATCTAATTTATACAGTACTGGGTTACCGAATCAGTGTTTGTAATATAACCTGACATTCATATATTGGATTTATGTTTTTAAATCATATTATTCAATTAATTTATAAATTTTATAAAATTAGATGGTTATGTTCCGCGTGGACAACTAGTTGTTTTTAAAAGTATTATAAAGAAATGACAACAATACTATTTTATTAGCAAAGTTATAAATGTTAATTTTATTCACGCGCTTATGTTTATTAATATTAATTTTTGTTATAATTAGTATATAATTATATTATGAGAGCTCAGGTATTTAGGTTAGGTTTTAGTTGGGTTTTAGGTGTTTCCGCGCAATAATTTTGATGGATATATGTTTTTTATGTCTTAATTAAATATTTTCTGTTGAAAAAACTAAATTTTCTTTTACGGGCTTAAACTTTGTTTTAACCAAGAAATCACATAAAAATAAGTAAAATATTAAAAGAAAATTTTGTTTATATTCATCTATAAATTCATTAATTAATATCACATTCAACAACAACAACAACAAAACCAATGGCAGTGGGAGGAGGACTCAAATGACTGAACCGTATGATCCCAAACCGTGCGACATATATTCACTCGGGTTATGCGTATGCGACACACTTGGYGGCCATCTTARCCACTATCAGATCCAACGCACTGTCTTAGGTATACTCAATCCACAGRTACTTCAGGRCTTTGTTCGGGCGAYGGGTATGAAAGTCGACAGTTTTGATTTTATTCAACTATTGARAGGTATGTCAGATATGGACCCAGAGATAAGGCTTACTATTGATCAGGTAATAGATGACCAATGGTTTAGAAATTGATGGACAGATAAAAAGGTTCGKTAGGTCTTTGTATTTAAGTTATACATTTAATTGCAATAAAATTGTGTTAAAAATAATTATTGTTTTAAATATCTATAAAAAAATCAATACATAAAAAACTTTTATAATATTTATAAAACTTAATAAATGCCAGAATAATAAAAAATAGTAATAAATATTATTTATTGCCATCTATTGAGTTACTAATAATAGTTTTAATAATGTTRTCAAACATTACATTAAWTCAAWCATAACTTTATTTAATAAATGACTGCAAATGGATGTCTACTATTGATCTGTGGCYTACCGGCCATCGGTAAGTCTCGACTGGCCAATAGTCTGGTCCACCGATCGATTACTATCGGGTCAAACGTGTATYACTCGCCCGACAACAACAACAACTTCTTYACGTTTAAGATATCAGTGGACGACTTGATGTCAGTTAAGGATCAGTCCTTTCATATACATCTGAACGGCATTTGGCGGCAATTCAGACGTMATATAGTGATTGCAACCAAACTTTTTGTCCGTAAATTGACACAAAATGATCAACTCTTGACCCATGAAGACACTGAAGATGTTATGACACTGTTAGACATCATTTACGAGTGCAACCAAACTGTTATCAATCAATGGCGAAGACAAACAACTTCAGCGGACAATAAAAAATTTGTTATTATTATTGACGACAATCTTTACTACAAGAGTATGCGTTACGAGTGGTACCAGACATGCAAAGAGCTATCATTGGGTTTCGCTATAATTATGATCAACACTTCACTGGAATTGTCACTCAATAGTAACCGACTTAGAGATGAAGACAAACGATTGCCCGACGATGTTATCGTACGAATGTCTGAACGCTTTGAATGTCCGCAACCGTCGGCCGAACCGTTCGAACAGAAAACTTATTTTCTTAGAGCTGACACAACTATTGATCACAAAATCGACGACTCATTGATTGAATTCATTACCGATGCGATCGGCGAACCAGTTGTMGATCAGACTATTCGATTGCCAATAGAGGAACAGTTGAGACAAAGGCTTAATACAGAGTCAAGAATAATGTTATTCACAAAATTGATTGTCTTCTGCGACAACTCGTCGGAGAATTGGTGAACAAATCATCGGATAAGAAGAGTTGTGCAAAAGTGTTGAACTCATCGAAGAAGTGTTTGTTACACGACTTAAAACAATCGCCGAGTTTTTTATCACAAACTATTGCCAAACAATTGGTCTCTGATTGTGATGATTGCAGTGTCAATGGTCTGCACTTTAGTGATGATATCAGACAGTGTTTTACTAAACTTTTATTAGATATCTATTGACAGTATTGTACAGAAAACTARTAAATACATAGATATAATCAAATTTATATTTTAATTATSAATAAWTTTTTAACCCTTGACCCGAGACWTGKAWTATTTTRTATTTGTATATATAACCTCAAGATCTATCTACCCCTACTCCTTCCCCCAAATCCCATTTTTTGTCTTTTTAATCATATAATAAAAATATAATTTGCTTCACACTATGTCRTGAAAATTTTATCAAATTTGTTCATTTAATATGATGTTATTATTTATTTTTAATTACAAATTTATATTAACRTGSGAACATATAATTTTATGCCAAAAAAGTTTGTTTMTGGCAATRCTTTATAGTATTSTGATCTGGGTTATTTACTATTATGATTGGYMAGATAATTACATTAASACCMGTTAAGAGATTATTTTATATTATATTATTACTAATTATTATAATTTATTAGATTATTTTTTAATATTATAAACCACGAGATAAATTGAAATAAAAAACAAACTTTTAWAAAAATATCATTAATTAGTGAATTATTATAATTGATGCAAACTATGTATAATTGTTTTAATAGTRWATTGATATAAAACTTTGATTAATGATTTCTATAATATCTAAAYTATTAATGTTATCAATAAATCATAATTATTTGAYACAAAGACAATTAAAATATTGTTTTATTGATTGTTACCAACAATTGTATCGACATTACAAGTATGTAAAGACATGTTATACAACATCAGTAATGGTTAACAACAGYGATGCTGTTATAGACAAACAACTAATCAGTAAATTAATGGACAGTTTTGTTTGTATATGTATTGCTGGCGTYGATTGTCGGCACAGTTATCGCGGTAGCGGTTGTATTGTCAGTGTCGACGATCTGACAGCTAATGTTGTCACTAACTATCATTTGGTCGAAACTGTCAACAAAATTGTCGATATTATCGGTAACGGATGGTCATTATTGGGACGGGTAGTCTATGTCGACCCGAAACTGGATTTAGCACTCATTAAGTTTACAAATAATAATAAAAATTTGATAACTAATTATCAAATCTTGCAATCGTTTCCATCATTTGGCGATCATATGCTATCACTTGGCTATGCAACCAATGACTATAATTTGTGTACTGGTATTATTATAAGTCCCGCCAGTGTCTATCTAACCGATCATAATATGTCATACTTTTATTCGTGTTCACCGGGAATGGTATACATTGAACACTGTGTGCCAATATATTCGGGGTTTTCTGGCGGACCACTAATCGATGTATCAAATGGACAGTTGTGTTGTATGAACTGTATTGTCGAAAACGGTTCGCAAAGATTTGCCATTTCAGGCGATTATATCAATAGTAAGTTTTAAATATTAAAACCAAAAAATGTAGTTTTAATTTATTAAAAAAATACTAAATATAGAATTTCTGGAAAATGCCCACTTATTTCGAGAAAGTCAACAATTAAGACGACTCTCTGAGCACCGGGCGATCAGATTAGGTATGCATTTCAAGTGGCAATCACGCGGCTGTTATATAGTGACTAAGTTTCTCAATTTTGATGAAACGTATGTAAAAAATATATATATTATTTTGTAGTTATTTTTTAATATTTTATTTGCCCATTAAATTTATTATAAAACATAAAAAATTAATACTTAACTCATGTTTTTTAGATCTAATTTGTTTGATACGGATATCATTCATTCAATCAATGATCAATGTATTAGATCTATGGATCACTTTGTGTATGAAATCAACAAATATGACAATCAAACTATTGATATATCATTTATACCAACACTTTTTGGAAACAAAAAACTTATTATAGATTCAACCATTACTTTAGTGTCAACTCAGTTAACATTTGTTTAATTTTATTATTAGATAAATAATTTATAAATTTGTAAATTTCTTGAAATATTAGTAAATTAATAATATAAATAAAATAAAAATATTGTTATTTTCTATAAACAAAAGTTATATATAATTTATTACTTTAAATGTTTAACTATGTATAGTGAACCCATATAACTATAATTAAATTTACATATTTTTAATTAAAATTAGTGACCGAATAATCATTAGTTAACGACTAACGGCATTAGTAATAATATTGTGATTATAACAATTGCAACAACGATAAAAAAATTAATTTTCTAATTGCTCTATAAATATAACATTATTTGTATAATTTTTCTAAAAGATAAGACAAAAAATAAAATTTAAAAAAATAAAATATATTAAAGAGTGTTTCACTCGTATAAAACCAATAGATTAGTTTTAATTGGTTATACATATGTACTAATGTATGCACAAAAAATTACATAAATGTCTATTAAATCCATTTCAATAATGAAAAACATTGATAGAAAAAGTATTGATTTCTTATACGTCTCGCGACTGGTTTTATACGAATGAAAAGCTATTTTTAGTTAAATCGCGCGATGCGGACAAACCATTGTTACGGTTATGACATATGAACACATCAACAGATATAGAAATATTTGAAAAGTTTTATTATCTAAAAATTTCATTAAAATATCTCAATCCTATCAAAAGTTATTACTAAATAATCTATTGGTTTTATACGAGTGAAACACTCTTTAATATATAGTATTTTATTTTTTGTTTTATCTTTTAGAAAAATTATACAAATAATGTTATATTTATAGAGTAATTAGAAAATTAATTTTGTTGTCGTTGTTGCAATTGTTGTAATCACAATATTATTACTAATGCCGTTAGTCGTTAACTAATGATTATTCGGTCACTAATTTTAATTAAAAATATGTAAATTTAATTATAGTTATATGGGTTCGGAATAATCTAAGGTACAGCATATGATACCCTATGATTGTTATGTGTTTTTATATGACAGAAAGCATAAGATAACTTTGAATAAATTATTAGTAAATTTCTAGAAAAGGTTTCAATAGTTTTTAATTAATATATCATATATTAAATAAATAATTATTATTTTTTAAATATTCAATATAGTATCCAAGAATATATTTGTAATTAATATTGTACGTCAATAATAATCAACTAACATATGTAATATTATTTATTATGATTAATTTAATTTTTTAAAATTTATTTATATATAATTTTTATATGATTGTAGCGCTAAATAAATGTGAACATAATGACAGTGTCAACATGGACAATTTGTTAAATACATTGAATTGTATCAGCAACAATTTGCAGCAGGTGTATTCAAAATTTTATCAATTGCTAATTAAACCCAATCATCACTGTACGGATCAATTGGTAATTATGGTCAATATGATACCACATGATGACCTACTGTACGTCAATTTATCAAACATATTAACAATTGTATCAAAAAATCATAATTAAGTTTTATTTATTATTATTATTATTATATTAGAACTAATCGGATTAATAACATAGATATTATATTTTATAAACTATCCAAAAGTAAATAGAAAATTACTGTATTATAAATACATTGTAATAAAAATTATTATAACACTATAAAAATTTTATTATTCTGTTAAATTAGGGACAGTTATTATGTGCACATAAACTGTTTAAAAAGTTTATATTAAATATACTATATATAGAAATTGATATCTTTATCCTATTGATRTACAACTAATATTATATAAATTATAGATAAATAATGTATTAATTTAATTTTACAACAATTTWAAAAAAATCAYTTATCTCTAATAGTTAAATTAAATTAATATTTATTTGGAAATATATTYAATATTAATTTGTATAACAACTACAACAGTGTAACGTTGTGTTTGAATACTARAACACATATAAATGTAATATGTATTTAGCTATCAATGTTGTGATTATTATTATTACTGTATTATTCAACACATTATGTAATGTTTTTTTAATAATAATAATACAAAATAATAATACAATGATTTCAAGTATTTTTTCCTCTGTGTTAATGAAAATGAAAATACATAATCATTAATGTATTACTACTACAKGTATATTCTACAGTAGTTTTAAACATTTTTTTTAATGAAAAAGACATTTAAATAAATTAAATAATAAAACAACAGTAAATTATTTAAYAAATTATAATTAACAACATTTTAAACATATAATACTGTTTAATATATCATAGATTTTTTGACACAAATATTTTTTTTGTTCAAATGTTTACAATTTTGAAACGGATTTCAATATTATTGTACATTAAAAACACATAAAAACAGTAATAATAATAATAAACAACACATTCATTGATTGATTGCAAAAATATGTGTTTTATTATACATTGTTTTACATGAAAACGCAAACTATAAGTAAATATCTAATCAAATGATTTGAATTTGTTTTTTGTTTGATTCAAATCATATGTTTTGATTATTTTTGTGTGAGATATGAATGACAACACAAACAGCGGTTATTTATCCACCAATTGGTCGCCGACTGCAACGCCCGACAACAACAGCAGTAGTAGTAGTAGTGGTGGTAGTAGTGGTCACAGTCATCGTCGACGATATCAACACCGACGGGACGACAATRTGGACGACGATCGACTGCTGGATGATAACAGTGACGAACGACATCAACAGCGGATGGCCGCCCGATCGCTGTCGCAGACCCGAAAGGGACCGCATTTTGACAGCCAAGACATTATGTGTCGCAAGGGCTGTGGCTTTTACGGCAATCCCGAGTGGCGCGGACTTTGTTCAAAATGTTTTCGGGCAGAACAACGAAAAGTAGACGCGAAAACACCCGACCAAAAGACCGACAATAATAGTCGGTCGTCTTATGCCTCGTCAGTGATGTCGCCGATAAACAAATGGATTTCACCTGAAATGCTATCACTTTCGGCCTCTTTTTCATCGTCAAAGTCATCATCGAAACCTTCGTCGACAAACAGTTCGACACAATCCACRCCATCGACCACATCGTCGTCAACATCGCCATCATTACCGACGTTTACGAAGTTCGAGGAGAAGAAGAGACAACAGTCGGACAAGAAGAGTAAGACATTGAAATCGATATTCAAAAGAGCGGCCACTTTTCGCGAGTCTAAGAGTAGTACACCGTCGACGCCTTCATCAGCCACTCAGGCTCTTCAGTCGTGGACCGATCGCCAATTGTTTTCGTTTGATACGCTTTCGCTCGGCGAAGAAGTTGTGGCCAAATTTTTACGCGAAGCCGCCATCCATGACATCAAACGACAGATCAGCCGCATTGTAGATAAGATTAACAAAATACAGAATAAGGTGACTATCGAAGAAATGTCTGAAACCATACACGACTTTTACCAGTCGATGAACACACGGTTCACGAGTAACCCGTTTTATCGGGAAGCTAGCGGTGAACAGATTGACCAGTTAGTTGACTTTACCGAACGCTATCTGATGCAACAATTGTACCAAATGTTGTTCACACGGATTCAACACGAAGAAGAGGAACGCGATTTGGCGCTTCAAAAACGGATTCGTTCGCTGAACTGGATTATGGCACAGCATTTGGATGTCGACATCAATTTACGTCATCCACAGATCAAAGATCTTGTCGACAAAGCAATAACCGAAGCCATTGAGATGGACTCGAAACAGGTTCCGCTGGAAAAGTTGGAYTGCATTATGAACTGTAGTAAAACTATTTTTAAATTACTTCAAGTCAACTCACAGGAACCGGTCAGTGCTGACCAATTTCTGCCGGCACTGGTGTTCATTGTTATCAAAGCTAATCCGCCATTGCTTCAGTCCAACATCAAACTGATCACCCGATTCAGTACACCATCGCGATTGATGTCCGGTGAGGCCGGCTATTATTTTACTAACCTGTGCTGTGCCACGTCGTTCATTGAGAACTTGACCGCCGATTCTCTAAATATGGGCGACCAAGAGTTTCAGAGTTATATGACTGGTGAGGCACAACCGCCCGGTGCTTATCAACARTCGACATTTTTGTGCGAAGCATTCCGTATAATGGACTCCAATAAGGCATTGATTGCCGATCTCAAGGATAGACAAACGAAATCGGAAGCGCAACTGAAAGAGCTTTCCGAGAGTATCAATGAGTTTAGAGACGATATGTTAAGAAAAACGTCAAAATATCTTAAGCCAATTGTTCCCAACGTGTATTCATTGCCGGCCGAATTGGACATTTGCTTAATTCCCGAACATTTTAAGGGATGTGTTATACATTCGGACGGAATTCTCATTGATTTGTTGGACAACAGCGATGTGTCCGCCGATAAATATAGTACTAATTTAGAGGCCAGTGATTCAATTACTAACAGTGAGCCTACTAATGGTGGTGACRGCAGTGGTCGTCAACGAAATAGTGCTCAAATAGCACTGGAAAGTCAATTATCAATAGATGAACACCAATTGCCGCCACCGTTGGCGCCACAAATAATTCAAAGTCATAAATAAATAATTAATTAAAAACAATTTAATAATTATTAATACAAAAAATAATTATAATTATAAATAACTAGTTTCCTAAACAGATAATTTAGTCAAATTTTTTAATTAATTTGTATTTATAAACTATACATTTAATTAATTTTATTTTTTTTAGTTATTATTAAACTTATATCACATTATTGTTATTGTTAATTGTGTTGATGTTATTGTTAATTGCGCTCAAATTAAATGGGTTATCAATACTGTATATTTTTTAGTCTAGATTTTAGTCTCATATTAATGTATTTTTTTAGTTAATTTTACAACTAATACAGAAACAAAAAAATAATTATTAAATTTAATTTAACTTAATTTAAAAAATAGTTAATTTATTATATTTTGGAAAAAATGTTTATTAAAAAAATCATTAGATTTTAAATACCAAAAATTATTGTATAATTCGCTGCTTTTTCTCCCCCGACAAACAAATCGCACATAAGGTTAACATTTAAAACAAATTTTTTAAATAGTAATAAAATTATTTTTTTGGTTACAAATTCATTTATCAAATTAATTTAAATTAACTTAATTATTAAATATATATAAATTATTAATTAAAAAAACAATCTATATTTTAATAGCTTCGACCAAATAGCGTAAAATTTTGTGGTTTACTTTTACAGTTAGGATGAATACAAGACATATCATCGGTCACGGGCTGCGGCTGATCCAGTGGTATGCACAACGATTTGGCGCCCATCAGCGGTCCCGAAGAGTCCGTTTGGTCTTCTTTGGCCGAGTCTTTCTTGATCTGATCCTCACAATCAGATGCCCCGCAAAATGGTGACATTATTATGAACTTCAGGTCCAGTTTTTCGATAAACTGTTGCCAGTCTTGGGTGACAATCATATGAGAGTCGCGATCCTGTTTGGCATTTTGATAGAGTGAGTCTTGTATATTATCCAACAATATCTTACAATCGTTGACAGCGTCGGTAAATTTATAAGTAATTTTGTCGCCATTGTCCCGCCGGACGGCTACGTACTCGCCTTTTTGCATATCTTTCGGTCCGAATTCAATACGAATGGGAACTCCTTTCAGCTCCCAGTGATTGAACTTCCAACCGGGTGAATAATGGTCAGACAAATCACTTTTGACGCGCATATCGGCGCTCCTCAAAATCTTTTCCAATTGTTTGCAACCCTCTAGCAGTCTATTCTTGTCCTCATCAGTTGTATTAGCAGTAATACCGCATGGGACAATAACTATCTGTATTTTGGCCACTCGCGGCGGCATTACCAGACCCTTGTCGTCGCCGTGAATCATCACCACTGCGCCGATAGATCGTGTTGACAGACCCCACGAATTTTGGAAGGCGTGTCGCTTTTTGCCCAACTCTTGCGGATCTTCGAAGACAATCTCAAACATTTTGCTAAAGTTTTGGCCCAAATAGTGCGAAGTGGCGCCTTGAATGCCGCGGCCATTGGTTCCAACATAGGCCTCGCATGTGGTAGTCATATCGCCGCCGGCAAATTTTTCTTTTTCAGTTTTCTTGCCCTTCACAACAGGTATGGCCAATAGATATTCATAGACTTGGGCGTAATAGTCGAGTATTTGGTAGACTTCTTCGAGTGCCTCCTCTCTGGTGGCAAATGCTGAGTGACCCTCTTGCCAGAGAAACTCACGGGTGCGTAGAAATGGTGTCGGCTGTTTGAATTCCCATCTAACCACAGAACACCATTGATTCAGTCTAATAGGCAAATCACGGTGCGATTGAACCCATTTAGCGTACGAGGGATACATTACCGTCTCGGAAGTGGGACGTATAGCAATTGGTTCAGCCAATTCGGACTGTCCTGATTTAGTAACCCAGGCAACCTCCGGAGCAAAGTCAGCGATATGTGTTTTTTCGGTTTCGAGCGCCGATTTCGATATAAACATTGGAAAATAGCAGTTCTCGACACCCAATCCTTTAATACGTGTATCAAAAAAGGATTGAATGGTTTCCCAGATAGAGTAGGCCCAGGGTCTCAGTATATAACAGCCGCTCACATCGTAGTACTCAATCATCTCCCCCTTTGTAATTACTTCGGTATACCAGTCGGCAGTGTTCTCACTCTTTTTGTTTTCAATACCTAAACGGGTCTGCTTTTTGCCGGCACCACCCAYTGCTCCAGACTTTGGTTCTTCTTTTTTGGCCTTATTTTCAGACTTCTTGTTAGACTTATCACTCTTTTTTGCCGAACCACCACCGCTGCCACTGTTCTCCTTACCCGCTCCTCGAGGAGCAGCTGTTGGACCGGCAGATTTTGAGACCCAATCGGCACCGGTAGTTTTTTTGTAGTCTGCCTTGAGTTCCAATAGTTTTTTGACTGCACCATCAATAGCAGTTTTGTCCGCCTTTTCGGTTTTCAATTGTCGAACAGTGTCGGCCTGTTTTTGTAGCAAATCGTCCAATTCTTTGTGCGGATTATTATTATCACTACTTGTTTTACTTGTATTCGTAATATTTAATTGACTCAATTGTATATCCGGTTTCCATTCAACTCCAGACTTAGTTTTAAACTCAGTTTTCAATGACAACAATAGGTTAACCTTTTCGGTAATCTGTTCTTTGCTGGCTTTATCTGATTTCAATTGACGAACAGAATCTCCGCAATCTTTAATGTCTTTTAGAATTTTCTCTAAATCTGTTGCAGAAGTGGTTAATTTAGTCGACGATGTTTCCAATTGTTTAGCCAACTCTTGTGTCCTCTTTTTCCATTCTTGTACTATTTTTGGAAAAACATTCAAATCGGTAGAGCCGTCGGGAATGGAGATCAACACAATGGGTGACGAATCATTTGCAGGCGAATCGCATATGAAGAATCCTTTTCGCTGGATCTGAACTATGTCCCCCTTTTTCAGATCATTGAGTCCAATGTCACCAAAAGCCTGAACCTCGACTTTGGTATCYTTGTTAACAAAATTTTTGAAATCATCGTCCGGTTTGAGTACAGCTTTAGTAATAATATGTTCATAATATGTGAGCGTTGCGGGAATGGTAGCGGTCTTCTCAATCCACGTCACTTTCAATGTTTTCTTAAAGTCTTTATTATCTAAATTAAGTTTAGCCTCAATTCCGGTAACTAATCCAGTGTTAGAATCCTTGTTGACGGCGGTAATCGAAATGTTTCCCCAATTAATAAAAGTCACATTTTCGTCGGCTTTGATCAGTTGAGCGTCCGTCTGGTCAATGAGTATTTGTTGGCCAACTTTAACATTACGTTTGCCGAGCTCAGCATTTTTCGGGTGAAGCGAGGCTTCAATGGTGCCATCCGTTGCATCGATAATCGTGACAACCACCGCGTCTTTCAATTCAACTGCTGAATATCGGGGCGCAATCGGATCAATCACTTTCTTATTGAAGGCCCAAATCTTATCCCAATCCATGTATACTACGGCTCGGGACGAGCCCTGAGATAAAATGAATTGAATGAGTCCATCAACAGTCAAACCACGTCGGAAAACACCGCGAACGGTAGGCATTCGGGGGTCATCCCAGCCCTCAACGATGCCCTGTTCGACAAAAAAGGTTAATTTGCGTTTGGAAAACACCGAGTGTGTCATATTTAGTCGTGAATAAGCCGATATAAGTGGCTTTCGGAGGCCGAGTGCATCGATAAACCAGTAGAACTGGGCGTCTCTGTCCAGATATTCGCTGGTCCGTAACGAATGTGTTACTCCCTCTATACTGTCCACTATAGGACACGCAAAGTCGTACGTTGGATACACTTTGTATGTGTTTCCAGTGCGCGGATGCGCTTGACTTTTGCACCGATAAATGGCCGGATCGCGTAGACAACCATTATCGGATGACATATCCAGTTTGGCCCGAACACAACACTTCTGGCCGTATTCGGTACCGTTTTTCATTTCCTGCCACATCTCGAGGTTCTTGTCGGCCGTATTGTTACGATTGCGTGATTCCACGCGATTCTCGCGCTCCGTTTTCATCACATCGGGTGCCGTGTCGTCCACATAGGCCTTACCGGCGCGAATCATGTCTTCGCACTTCTGCATTATGAGCTCAAAGTGATCCGAAGTGTAGCTGAAGTGGTCGTACTTGACATTCAACATCTCTACGTCTTTGAGGATCACCTAAAGATAAAAAAAGTGATAACAATATTAGTCAACAATTTTCACCACTAGTTGTCTGTCTGTCTGTCACTTACTTTCTCGAAGTCTTCCTTTTCCTTCTCTGGATTGGTGTCATCGAAACGCATAATCAGTTTTCCATCGTATTTGTTCCGATAGTGATAGTTAAGAAGTGCAGCTTTTGCGTGTCCAATATGCAAGAAACCGCTGGCCTCGGGCGGGAACCGTACCACCACTTGGCCTTGTTTGGCATCGGGTAGTTCCGTATACTTGCCTTCGTCTTTTTGGTCACCGCTTGCGGTCGACTTATTGGCCGATTTACTAGACTTTTGACTTTTCGATGACGACATCTGTTCGTGACTTTTGTTACCGCCTTTTGTCATAACTTTTCTGTTGAATTGTCACTCAATTTAAATCAATCGATGCCTTAAAACGTGGCTTTAAATGCTATTCAATATGTGTTGTAAAATCTACTATAAAAATGTAATAACAAATAGACATTACATAATAACATTGGAGTCGTTCATAAATAACGTACAAAATTTTTATTTATTTATTTGAAGGATGTTTGCTATTAGTTTAGTATTSAGGGGGAACTTAGTAATTAACCCCTCTATACAACGTTATTGATTTGTATTATGTACATGTACATTATTTGTGTGGTCAAAAAATGATCATGTTACCTAATTGTAATACAATTTGCATCATTGTATTTATTATTTTATATATTTTTATTTATAATAGTTATTGTTTGATTTTCGATTTTTTAACATTACAACATTTAGTTTATTATATTTATTTTAAATTGACGTTTAGTTGAAAATAATTGATCATGGTTAGTATTTATTTATTTATAATTACATATTAAGTAATATAAATTTATATGTATTTACACTGTATTTACAAAAAGCTAGCTCATAAATTTAAATAAATTATTACTGAAATATTATGTGTTTATAATAATCATATGAAAAAATTGTTAAACTTTTTTTAAAAATTATAAATACATAATACTATTAAAATAAATAATTTATTGAATATATAAAATTGTTAATAAGTATATCATTTAGCATAACAATATTATCTAAGGAAAGTAAAAATATATACAAATTTTTAAAAAATAGTAAAACATGTTTAAAAACAAATTAATTAAATAGAAACTATACATATTTTTCCATACATATATATACATATTTAAATATATGACTAATTTGTATGACAATTGCACATACATTTACCACTAGAGCTGGCATTACTGGCTCTTCGACTACCTGTGCCGACACTAGACTGAGACTCCTTTAAATATAATTAAGATAAATATATAAGAAATTAATAAATAATAAAAATGTTTAACAATACCACTGAATTAGCAGATAATAAGTGCCATAGAATTTGTGATGAAAGACCAGAATCACTGAAAAATACATAAATAATAATTTCATTAAAATTTAATAAAATATAGTTTATATTAAAAAATTATTATTAATTAATTATAATTACTTATTTTTACGATAACACTCGCTATGAACTGTCGATGACTTTAATGTATCTAATTTGTTGGCCATCGATGACAATGTCTTTAACTGTATTGAATCGCAACATATCTTTTGTTGCATATCTTGAAACTCCTTCCGGAGGCAAACCATTTGATTCTGAAGTACAGACAACTTGTCTTCAGTTGTCTCCAAACGCTGTAACGTATCGTTTAATAGGTTTTCCTGAGTTGTCTGATATGATAATACCTTATTTTTTGATAAAATAATAAGTATTACATTCAATAATTTCAAAATTCCATAATTGCTAACAATATATATTTACTTTTATGGCATTAAATAATGTTTGAATAAAACTTTTATATAAGTCACCAAAAATTGTCAATAAAATGAAGTCAACAATTGAGATATAAATATAAAATATGCGAATAATTAATGGTTTAAATATTAAAGTCATTGTTGTTATAATTATTAGTATAGTATAATAGTGTTAAATTTTATATCACTTATTAGTAAATGAGAAAATGTTTTCAAAATTTAGATATTTTACAGGTATTTTAAATGAACAATATTTAAGTAATAATAATTTTAGATGAAACCATTAGTAAACTACTGTATGAAACCTAATATACAAATAACTACAGTATGTTTTGTTTATTTTCATATTTAATTGATATTTACTTATTATTATTAAAATTATTAATATAAATTTACTCTATAGGCTATTTATTTTGTATATAACCGTCTAAGTTTGCTATAATTTTATAATAGATAGCCAATCATCTGTAATGTAAATGATTTTAAAAATAGTCATTTAGTATTAGACACACTTGATTAACAGGGTCTGTCTCCCCCTTAATCCAAATAAACCAGTTTAACTAATGTACCGGTATATCCACTCAAGTATGTAACTAACACATACACATGTTTAAATGAAATTGATGTTTTCATCAAATTATTATTATTTGACATTTCAAAAAATTAATTTTTATTTACTCAATTGATTTTTTTWWAAAATTTTTGTTTAATATTGAATATACAATTTTTAATTTATTTAACTTATAATATTTAAAAACATAATATTTTTTAATTAAATATTTTGTTTAAAATTTTAGAATAATTTTATTAAATTTAGTTTATTATAATTATAACATAAGTTAAATTTAAAGAAATTTATTGCAACGATTTTACAGATAACATAATAAACAAAATAGTAAGATAACTTTTTATATAATATTTTTTATATAATCTAATTATGTTTATCAATTGTTTTTGTTTTATTTAACCGCATATTATATGCTAATAATTATGTAATAATATCTAATAATAAATACTAATGCAATAAAACTATTGATAGTTAAGGAAATCCTGAAAATAATGATAATATTTACACTGAATAAAGATTTTATTCAAAATAATTATTTTGAAAACAAATGTTTAATTATAAGGAAATTTTCATTAAGTATATGAAAACATATTTGTTTTACAACAAAAAAAAAGTTTTTTCTTTTAAAATAACATATTTACAACAAATACATATGTTATAATTTATCATGAGAGAATAATTTTAATTTATCATTATAAATATATATATACTTTTAAAACTATCTATCAATTTAGCGCATATATTGTATATATTTACATATTTTAATTGAATATATTGTATAAACATTTGTTATACTTATTGGTAATAATTGCAAAGTCATAATAGAAATGTCTAAATTATTGATCAATACTATATAAATAATTTTACAATTAATATATGATATTATAATTAATAATTAATTTTTAAATTATATTTTTTCTAATATAAAAAAGAAATGACCGAAGAGGTAATCAAATGTCGGACTCCCGGAAAAGTTATACTTCATGGAGAACACGCTGTGGTCTATGGAAAGGTATGTTTCAAATGATAATTACATAACATTTGAGTAATTGACATATTTTTCGATACATTTTGTTTAGACTGCAGTTGCCGTAAGTGTCGATTTGGATACAAAAATATCGACAAAAGTGTTGAAGACATCGACAACAACTGTCAAACTTGATATAAACTTTAACTTTAAACAATGCAATGAGTGGTCAATCAATGAGTTGTCACAAATCCGATTGATTGACGACAAAAGTCGCAACAAAGTTATGGATTTTAACGACTCATTTCTGCAAATTGTGTCCAAACTTGTTGATCAAAGTCTACCACAAAATGTCTATAATTCTGTTAATTCATTTCTCGTCTTATATTTGGCAATAAGTGACAGCTATTGTGATTCAAAGCGGTTACCAATGGAAATGATTGTCTCAACATCTTTGCCTATTGGTGCCGGTCTCGGGTCATCTTCATCATATACGGTAGGCCTAACAGCATCTCTGATGAAGGCTTACGGTGTGGTCATAGATCTATCACTGGTTAGTGAGTGGGGCTATCAAATGGACAAACTATTTCACGGACGGCCATCGGGTATTGATAATTCAATTTGTACTTTTGGCGGTGCATTACAGTTCAAAAGTGGCAAAATTGTCGAACAATTAGCTCATATTGAGACATCACTGCCGGTAATTCTGGTCAATACCGGAGTTCCTCGAAATACAAAAGCACAGGTGGAAAAGTTGCGCCGAAAATATGACAAATATACTAATATTGTTGAACCGATATTAGAAGCAATCGATGCCATTTCTATTAGCGCCTGGGATCTCATCAAACAAAACAATCATTTACAAGATTTTGCGGTCAGTAAGACAACTAACTGCCCAAACAACCTAATGGTTATAACAATCAATAATTTAATTACAGAATCTCTTTGAACTTAATCAACATTTGCTAAACTGTTGCGATGTCGGCCACCCGGCCATCGACAAGATAGTCGATTGCGCCAATAAACTCGGATTATCGGCCAAAATGACCGGCGCTGGTGGTGGCGGAACAGTAATCATATTCAACACATTGAAAGGTGTGATCACAAAGAAAAAACTTTTAATATTAGTATTCAATACATAACAAATAAAAACTTTTTTTTGATTTGATTTATATTACAGAAACACATGAAATCGACAACCTATACAAAGATTTGGATGCAATGGGTTTGCAATATTGGAGCGTTAGGTTGGGTGCGGCCGGAGTATCATTCGAGTGACGCCTCCCCGTCCTCGATCTCGCGCAACAAAAGGACGTGTAGCTGCGATTTAGGTGTACTGTTAACCAACTGGTCGATTGGCCGATAGTTTCCTGGATCGGCCATAAACACCTAAGATTACAATATAATTCAATTATTTTTTCATAATTATAAATACATTATTTTTCAAATCAAATACCATTTCCAGTTGACCGTCATCTTTGAGTTCTTCCGATTCAACACTAGCAGCAAATTCTGTTAGTTTTTGTTTGTTTTTCTTGTGTGTGATTACCCGTAGCTTCATCTGTGCCCTCTCTATGGGCATAACTGTCTTCAACTGTGGAATCAGTTCGACGGCCTGTTGTTTACTGTTGCGATTGGGTTTAACAGAAAAGTGCAACTGTTTCATACATTTCTCAATCATATTGACACTATATGGCCGTTTGGTCTCCGGATTGACACACTTGTCGGCCACAACTGTGGCTATCTCTTTGAATGTACCCTCCAATTGATGACTTCTTTCCTTTTCGCTGATCTGTAGCTCACCTTTCGCTAGGATCTGATAACAAATAATCATATAAAATGACTAAACAATAAAATTATATAAAAAACAGACCTCAAGACAAGCCTTCATGTGGTCATCGGTGCCAAAAGCCTTCAGAAGATCTTCTTTCTTAGCCGTCTGTCCTTTGGATACGTTTGTAAACACCATCGGTGTCTGCAGTACTTCGTCGATGTCTTTCTCGCTGTTGATTAAAAAAACAGACAATAAACCTTTCAATCAATCAATCATAATAACAAGTGGTAATTGATCCCATTTTTGTCATCAGTTAGTTAGTTGAGGTAATAATAATAATAATAATAATATTTATACACTTTTTGCCGATAAGAGACCACTTTATTCTTATAGCAGGCAATTTCAAATCGTTGGCCACACTTTTTCATGCGAACAATGGCCACATTAGTCAGCCGTTGCTGATTTGTCGGTGTTTTTATCGACATTATTGTCGTTGCTTTTGACGGATCAGTTGTTGTGGTTATTGTTATTATCGTTGAGATGTCGTATCTTTCATAGACTATACATATATTATATCACGTGTTAAGTAATGTATTAATAATGTAAATGCAATCCAATGTAATAATAGTATTAATAGTATTATTGTTGCTGTTATTCACTTATTGCAAGCAATACATAGTTTTTAGAGATTTGCGCAAACTTTGAAAAACTATTATTAAAGTTACGTAAAATATAATTTAAATGTATTTATTGATGTATAAAAATTTATTTAAACCAATTAATTAATATTGCTTTTATTAAAAGTTAATTAAATACTCTAATAATAATAATATTAAAATTTAAATAAATTTTTCTTTAATAAGTTATTCATTTGTTAACATTGATATGTACTGTATTAAGTTTATTATGATTTAAGATTTTATTATTAATAATAATGATTAAAAGTTTTTAATAGTTTAAATATAATTAAAACTTTATATATAGATAATGTTTAGCAATACAGTACAATACTAAAAGTCCAATGTTAATGATGTAAATGATGTTCAAAATGTAATAATAATAATAAAAAATTACCGGTAATACAGGTTTAAAGTTTAAATAACTGATTAGATATAAGTAACTGATAAGCGATTCATTATTAAGTTATTTCCAGAAATACTAAAAAAATAACTGATTTTTCCGTTAAATATATAAAACTATGACATAAAATATTTTGAGTAAAATTTTTAAACGCTTACTCTTTTATWTTATTTATTAATTTATAAAACTTTATATATTTAGTTTATATTTTCCAAAAGATTTTATAAAATAAAATATTAGTTTATTTAAATAAAATTAATATTATACTGTAGTTTATATGTAAGTGATTCCCAGTTAGTATTGAAATTATGGATCTATTATATGGCAAACATAAAGAAAATTTTGGATTTGGCGGACAAAACACGTAATTATAGAAATTAATAATATATTTAATTTAATAAATAAATTAATTAATAATAATTTATTGTTTAAGATCTGAACGTTTAAGACCATTACGGCTCAAATGTCGGCAATTAATGAAAACAATAAATTTAACAAATGATACGCTTTTGAAAATGACATCAAATGCTAACAATAACAACACTGATGACAATCAGGAAGACGAGTACAAACATCTCAAGAGTTATATATCAATACTCGTTAAGATCGGTTCCAAACGGTTCTCTCAATTCAAGACATTGAGAAATAAGATATCGTTTTTGATGAAAGAGTTGGAACGCCTGCCGGAGACTAACTTCGAGAAAGAGGTGACCAATGAAGACATGTCTAGATTTATACTATCAGTTGATAATCTCGTGAAAGTTGAAAATCTTTGCGAAGAACTTGAAGACACTTATGAACAAAACAAATTGAAAAGAAAACGTATGGATCAGAAGTTGTATCATCTATGGGATCAATTGGAAGTTAACGCAGTTTACAGACAACACTTTTTAATTGCCGCAAAAGGATGTCGGCCGTCGGCACTTATGGCCATTGATAAAGAGATTAACAAATTTAAGTCATTAATGACTAACAAAACAAATAAAGAAAAAATTGAAGAAATGCGTCAAAAATTATCAAATTTGTATATAAAAAGCTATATATCTGATGAACAAAGAAGTCGATTCCAGACGTTTATGGAGTCCGAAGAATATACATACGAGTTATGCGATTATCACGAGTTAGAGCTCCAGAAGTATCAGCAGTACTATGAAGACAATCGACAGACATTTGAAACGTTGTATGAATGGCACCAATTGGTCAGTCGATTGTCTGAACTTCAAGACAGAGGACGAGATATCAAACGATTTCATAATCGCGGCGGTGCTCTGTTGGCTGAAGAAAGAGAGAAATCAACTATTATTAAGAAAATACCGATTATTGAGAATATGGTATTGAAATTAAATGAACAACAAGTTGTCAAATGTCGGCAACAGATCAAAGTCTATGATATTCCTGTAAAAAATTATTTTGAAAATCATAAGAGAAATGCAATGGAAATGAATAAACTAAAGAAATGAATGTATTTTATAAAAGTAAAATTTATACAATATTTAGTATCACATATCAGTTTTTAAAAAATTATTTATTGTTCACATTTTTTAATCAAAATTTTATTTGATGTATAAATAAATTTCGCAAAAAATAATAAGATTTAACTATAAAATAAAATAGATTAATTAAAAATATATTTAAAAAAATTTAAAAATTATAGTAAAAATATATTTTTAAAAATTTAAAAATTATAGTTAAAATATATAAATATATAATTGTTAATTTGCTTATAATTAAGAATTTTTTGTTTTGTATGTTTAGAAGTATGCTATTAATTATTATTATATTATTAATTAAATATTTATTATAACTATTTGTTTTGTTAAATACTAAAATTAAAAATGTTATTATATTATGCAGGGTTGCTAAAGGGGGGGATACACGTCTTACCGCCCCCTGAGATCGAGAAATTTTGGCTTTTAGCCCCCCCTGGCCTGATGCCAAAAAGTTAGGGGGCCGCCTACCAATTTTCGGCGCCGAAAATTTTTTTCAACTATGTAAAATTTTATATTAAACAAAAAAATAAATATTAAATTAGTTTTAATATAAATTAATAGCTTATGTATAGAAAATAAATAGATAAAAATACTTAATTACATCAATTTAACATTATTTACACATTATTTAAATTAAGAAAACTAAGAATAATAATTAAATAAATATCTAATAACATGTTTATATGATTTTCATTGAATATATAAGGTTTGCTAACTAAGCAAGAATTTTACAAATTTTTATCAAATGAAATAATTATTATATTTTCAATTTTTATTAAAATTTTTTATATTACTTTTTAAGGATTTCTATTTTTCTGGGAAATTTTAAATTATTATTGAGCACTGGTAAATTTTGAAGACAGGTAGGTAGATACTATGTATGTATAAAACTGTATTAAAATTTAATTTTCAAATTCAATAATTATTGAAATATTAAAATATAGAGAATTTAATTAAACAAATATAAAAATATCAAAGTTGTATAAAACTGTATTAAATTTTAATTTTCAAATTCAATAATTATTGAAATATTAAAATATAGAGAATTTAATTAAACAAATATAAAAATATCAAAGTTGTTTAAAACTGTATTAAATTTTAATTTTCAAATTCAATAATTATTGAAATATTAAAATATAGAGAATTTAATTAAACAAATATAAAAATATCAAAGTTGTATAAAACTGTATTAAATTTTAATTTTCAAATTCAATAATTATTGAAATATTAAAATATAGAGAATTTAATTAAACAAATATAAAAATATCAAAGTTGTATAAAACTGTATTAAATTTTAATTTTCAAATTCAATAATTATTGAAATATTAAAATATAGAGAATTTAATTAAACAAATATAAAAATATCAAAGTTGTTTAAAACTGTATTAAATTTTAATTTTCAAATTCAATAATTATTGAAATATTAAAATATAGAGAATTTAATTAAACAAATATAAAAATATCAAAGTTGTTTAAAACTGTATTAAATTTTAATTTTCAAATTCAATAATTATTGAAATATTAAAATATAGAGAATTTAATTAAACAAATATAAAAATATCAAAGTTGTATAAAACTGTATTAAATTTTAATTTTCAAATTCAATAATTATTGAAATATTAAAATATAGAGAATTTAATTAAACAAATATAAAAATATCAAAGTTGTATAAAACTGTATTAAATTTTAATTTTCAAATTCAATAATTATTGAAATATTAAAATATAGAGAATTTAATTAAACAAATATAAAAATATCAAAGTTGTTTAAAACTGTATTAAATTTTAATTTTCAAATTCAATAATTATTGAAATATTAAAATATAGAGAATTTAATTAAACAAATATAAAAATATCAAAGTTGTTTAAAACTGTATTAAATTTTAATTTTCAAATTCAATAATTATTGAAATATTAAAATATAGAGAATTTAATTAAACAAATATAAAAATATCAAAGTTGTTTAAAACTGTATTAAATTTTAATTTTCAAATTCAATAATTATTGAAATATTAAAATATAGAGAATTTAATTAAACAAATATAAAAATATCAAAGTTGTTTAAAACTGTATTAAATTTTAATTTTCAAATTCAATAATTATTGAAATATTAAAATATAGAGAATTTAATTAAACAAATATAAAAATATCAAAGTTGTTTAAAACTGTATTAAATTTTAATTTTCAAATTCAATAATTATTGAAATATTAAAATATAGACAATTTAATTAAACAAATATAAAAATATCAAAGTTGTATAAAACTGTATTAAATTTTAATTTTCAAATTCAATAATTATTGAAATATTAAAATATAGAGAATTTAATTAAACAAATATAAAAATATCAAAGTTGTATAAAACTGTATTAAATTTTAATTTTCAAATTCAATAATTATTGAAATATTAAAATATAGAGAATTTAATTAAACAAATATAAAAATATCAAAGTTGTTTAAAACTGTATTAAATTTTAATTTTCAAATTCAATAATTATTGAAATATTAAAATATAGAGAATTTAATTAAACAAATATAAAAATATCAAAGTTGTATAAAACTGTATTAAATTTTAATTTTCAAATTCAATAGTTATTGAAATATTAAAATATAGAGAATTTAATTAAACAAATATAAAAATATCAAAGTTGTTTAAAACTGTATTAAATTTTAATTTTCAAATTCAATAATTATTGAAATATTAAAATATAGAGAATTTAATTAAACAAATATAAAAATATCAAAGTTGTTTAAAACTGTATTAAATTTTAATTTTCAAATTCAATAATTATTGAAATATTAAAATATAGAGAATTTAATTAAACAAATATAAAAATATCAAAGTTGTTTAAAACTGTATTAAATTTTAATTTTCAAATTCAATAATTATTGAAATATTAAAATATAGACAATTTAATTAAACAAATATAAAAATATCAAAGTTGTTTAAAACTTATTAATTATTGTCAATTGATTTTAATTAAAGTTATATTTAAATAAATTATTTATAATTTTTTAAACTTATAAATATGTTGTATTGTATTTTTGTAGCTATAATTGTGGGAATCGGTATACTATTTATAATAAACTGTAAGCGCGTATTGTTTCACGTGTTTTGAGCTAACAATTGATACATATTTTATTACGTGGAGATAACTAGACATTAATAATTTATAAACCATTTAATAATCAGTTAAATGGATAATAATAACGATTTAATTAAATATAAATCTCAAGTGAAGGACAATGCTATTAGTATTGTCTTAAATAGTTTTCCCAAAAAATTGGTCGAATTAAAGACAATTATTGATGAAAACAAACTCTTTGGCTGTGATTTTGATGTCAAAGATGTTGTCATTGAAGTCTCTGAAGACATTTCAACAAATTTGATGACAATTGAAAAAATAATTTCAAATAATATTGTCTTTAATATTAAGTCGAATTCACTTTTGAAAGAAATGGTTGATATATTAAGACCACAATTGATTGAATTATCACAATATTGTCAATCGGTTTGTGTTGGCATCAATTTGATGACACCAACCATTGAAGATGGAAACAACTTCGGTGTTGAAGAACAACAGAAAGTTGTCGAAGCGTTCACTGCTGTCGACAATGATCTACAACGACGTCAATATGATTTAACCGGCTATTATCAGTCTCGGACGGATCTGATGGCTAAAGCCGTTAAATATCCTAATTTTGAGGACAGTTGGGATGCAATCATTGAAAGAGACAAACACTTTCACAATTATTGTAGATTATCCTTAATATCTGTTTTCAATCATTACCTCAATCTTCACGATTTGGTTGAAAAAAATTTGAAAAAAAATCAAAATCTCAGAACTGCTTCTGACATCAATATGTATTAATAATAATATTGATTAACATAATCAAGACTATGATAACTAACTTATGGTTTGGATAATCAAAAACAATTCATTGATATTTGATTTTTTAAACTAAAAATTTACAAACTATCAAATTCATGTTATACTGTATAAATTAATTTAGAAATTTTTCATTTTATTTTATTGTTATTAAACAAAAAAAAATTAATGATAATATATTTTACAAACATTTGCATTTTTATATTTAAAATTCAACATTGAAYAAATTATATAATAATTTATTTGTTATAATAATTTTWAAAAAATTAACTAAAAAATAAGTGCTTTACATTGAAAAACGATAGACAAATATTTATTTAAAATAAAACAATTTTTAAATACAATAATAATATTGAATTATATATAWTTAAAAAATTGATTATTTGTTTTAAATGAATTAAATTAGAAATACACCGGATTTATCATCAAATATGTTAAAAATAAAAATAAAACATTTTGTTTGTAATTTATTTTTGTACAATAATTATAATAATTACTAATTTTATTATTTATCTATTTATACTTTATATATGTAATTATCAATATATTGATATTTACTATAATTTAATTGAGAATCATTAGGTACTGGTTTGTTGAGTGTTATTAATTTAATACTAAATATTGACTTTATTTATATTTATATATATTATATATATATATAGTATATACTATATATTTATTAAAAATTATTTATAAATAATTTTAATATTTGTAATAATAATAATAATCTCAACAAATTGTAATATTTAATAATTAATTAATTAAGTAGATAGTCGCAGGTGTGATACATAAATTAATAATACAATTATAATTTATATAAAAATTATTTATTATTATTTTTTTATGTATAGTTAATAACTCTAAAAAGTAATTATTTATTACTTGATTGATTGACTGATAAATTATTTGCTATTTAAACATTATTATTTTTACACTGACTTTCATTATTATTAGTTTTTTCATAATTATTTTTAGTGATAAATCACATTATATACATATACACACACATACATATATACTGTATAACTTGTAATATATTATCAGTAATTTTTTGTTTAAAAAAATTTACATTTCAAATTATATGAGATTTATTTATAATTTAAACTCCCATTTGTCATAAAACTTCAGAAACTGGATGAATAAAAAAAATATTAAAATGATTATAATAATGATAGTAATTCAAAATAAAATAACAAAATAAAACAAATATAAAAATTTTTGATGTAAATAATGATATTCTATAATGTATATGATATTTTTAGTGAAAAATCTTAAAATTAAAAAAAATAATAAAAATATAATCAACTTATAAACGATGATTGCATAGAAAAATGTATTTGTCATTGATTTATATATATATATATATATACTATTTGTTATTTAAGTGATTTAATTGATGATAAATTTCAATTGTTATTTATATCAGATTGAAATTTTATTAATATTTATTTTGGTATTATTAGTATAGTTGTCATTGATATTATTAAGTCATATGTATTAATTTGTTTTTTAATGAAAGTAAAAAAAGTGTGTGCAAATATTCAATTATATTTGAACTATGGTTCAGTATATCTTTTACGGTACTGACCATCCAAATACAGGTGCAAAATGTTTTCATTGGTAACACTGGTATATGTTTTTTGTTGCAAAAATAAATTCACAAAATAAAGTATAAAACAAACAATTTTTTAAACGAGTCATAGAAAAGGGTCAGTCATATGAAAATTGTCGGTCAATTATATGCCCCCCAGTGATGATGATGTGAAGCCGCAGTGGGAACAGCAGGTGTGGGCTGGGCTGTCATCGGTGGTCCACCGCCGGTGCCATTCTTGTAGAGATGATAAGCAGCGGCATAGCTATCAACTAACGGATGGTAATGGTGTGCGTGCGGATGATATGTGGGCGCCACCACCTGTGGCTTCAGTATGGGTGGCGTTTCTCGTATGACACTTATGTGACGCAACAAACTCGAAGCCGAACTGATGGCCTCTGAACTTGTGGTACCGATAGTGGTCACAGAGCCGGGTGGCACTGGTTGTGGAACAGTCTGGCAGACATTGGGAGGTGATGGCGACTTCCAGGGCCGCACTGGACTAGAATTAAATCTCCGACGTTTGGCACTTTCGCTGTGATGCACATCGACTGGCGAACCGGGCGAACCGTTTTGCTGGTGCACCGACACAACCGATACCGGTGCTGGTAGTGGYGGTGGTGGCAGCGATGATCGTTGACTACTATGTGGCGACATATGTGTATTATTGTGGTCAACACATGGAGGTTGACTATGACTTAAATGTTGAGTACTGTTAGCATCGGGCGATGGCGTCGATGACACCGATCGTTTCATTGTCTGATTGTTTCGTTTGTTGGCAAAACCGGTAGGCGATGTGGGAGTAATTGAGCCGCCGGTTAGTTGAATCGTATCCATTACTATATTGTTGTACTCGACAGCACTGGTCAATCAAAAATAGAAAATACATAACTATTAGTTATTTATCGAAAAACATAAAATAAAATGATAGGATCTGATACCTCAAGACATAGTTAACACAAATAATACTCTGTTCGTGATCTTCGGAACCACCATTTGATCCGTTATTTGTCGACGACGTCGTCGGTGTCGGCGTAGCCGCCGCTGCCTTTGCACTGGCAGTAGTGCTAGTATTGGTTGATATGAGTGTAGCACATGATTGCATCCACGTAAAGCCACCCGTTTTATTGATAAACCGGTAATAATTGGTCATAACTTGTCCCTTATGTATCACTATTTAAATTAATARYACARTTATATTAGTATACAAAATAAAACTAATTATAACTATTTAATTAATCACAAGCTTTTTATTTTGTAATTTTAAATCAATAAAATTTAATAAACAATTTTTAAAATTTGAAATTAGAGTATTATATTAAAAAAATATTATTGTATTAAATATTATTTTTTTACTAAATTAATTAATCAATAATAAATACTTATATATTGTAGCTATATAGTAGTAGTAATTTATTTTACTTTTATACAAATTTAAATAAATAGTTAATTAATATTGATAAACTATAGAAATATAATTATTTGTTTAAAGTATAATTAATGATAAAARGTTATGTAATATAATACAGTACATTGTTTATAACTAGACAGTGAAATTGTTTTTTTTAAATATGGGAGGTTTAACAGGGAAATGAGTAAATATTTAATTTTAAATATAATAAATATAGGTATCTATCACTAGCTAATGATAAAGACGAGTAAAAATTATTTTTTGATCATACATATTGTTAGTATTTAAAATAAAATTATTATTTTTTATTATATTGCTATTATTTTTTAGAAAAAGCAACTTACAGTCTAAATGGCTTTTCCTAATATGCATGACATCCTGTCCATGAATAAGCCCATACAGGTTACGGCCTGTCAGCTCATCAGCCGTATAGTTGAGCAGATCTGATACCCTATATATTTGATGGATACATAAGATTATTTAAAAAAATTGTTATAATAATTATATTTGTTAATATATATAGATACAGATAATTAACTCTCTCTCTCTCTCTCTCTCTCTCTCTCTCTCTCTCTCTCTTTCTTTCTTTCTTTCTTTCTATTTCTACTGAATTGTCACTAAAATTTTTGTTAAGTTGTCATAAAATTCAAACATCAAAACCAGTGATGAAAATTAAAAAAATAATTATTAGTATTACTGCAAGAATAAATTGTGAAACAAAAAAAATCAAATAAAAATCACATTTCTATGACCCATACGATTGAATGACAGTTTTTTACTTTCTGTGTTTTATGTTGTTGAAAGTCAATTATTATTATTATTATTATTATTGTTATTACTGTATGTTTTTTATTTTTGAAAATATTGTTATATTACTAGTTTGACACTGTTTTATATCGTATTTTTCTATATTGTTAATCTTTAAGCTAAGAAAACAAAAACTTAATTTTTATGGAAATAGACAATAGTTTGTTGATTATTATTATTTTGGCTAAAAAACAATTGTCAGTCAATTTTATTGTGTAAATAATTTCAGTTATCTATAATTAAAATAATGTTTGGCGCTAATTGTGCTCTAATAGGACAAGTATTTACAAAATATGAAGTCAATAAAGAAATTTCAAAGATTAGATGTCATATTTTGCATATAAAAAGTACATACCGGGGCTCGCAGTGGGCTATTCTGAAGTCAAGGCCCAGTCGTGTGACAAACATATCGGGCTCGAGTCGTAGCTCATTGATCGACGGCGGCGGCAAAGCTATGGCCACTGCAACCATTCCGATGATTTTTTGTTGACCACCGCCGTTGCCATCGCGCCGCTGTTGGCCAATCTGGTGGGGCATCTCTGGTCTTAGATGTGCAATGATATGTACAACTCGATAGCCGCTGGACTTGAAGTGCTGACAACCGCGTTTGGTTAGTGTCGACTTCATGCGAATACAGAACTCCCTTTCCATTGTGTCRTTGGAACCGTTGACAACCATTTGCGAGTGTGAATGTGAATACGGTGTTCCCCCGTCCGACTCGTTGCTGGCACTCGAGCCCACCGAAGCTGGCGGTAGCGGTGATGACGACAAATGGTGACCACCAGATGATGAGCTCATATTAAGACCTAATATTGATTTTTATTTTGATTTTATTGAAAAGTTTATGTCAATTAAATAATTMAAAAAAAWWTTATGTAAAAAATTATTTTTAGTTTAGCTAATTATTGTTATATTTAGTTTAATAAGATTGCTATTAGTTTTATTGTAATATTTTTTCTTTGAAATTTGCTTTTTATATTATTAAATATTATTATTTTGCAATTCATAGGAAAAATAGATATAAAATCTATTGAATATAATAATAATATTCAATAAAKATTTTATATTAAGAAAATTGCTACCATTGAATATTTAACTGTATATCTTTAAATATTATATCGGTATAAGTTATACCGTATAGCCTATAAATATGATACTAATATAATGCAAGTATAGACAATATTAGTCTATGTAAAGATTTAAAATAAAAACTATTTTTTATTTTATTTAAGTATTTATGTTTGTGTGTATATAGTTGCAATTGTGGCACTGGTAGATACGGTATGATATTATATATGGTATCCTTTTTTTGTCTTGTTTTAAAATATTTACACAACTAATTTTGTTTACATTTTAACAAAAATATAAAAAAAAACCAAAAGCTTAACAAATTTTAAACACACAGTATAGCAGATGGATAATCATCAATATATAAAAAATATAATAAAAATTTATATAAACAACCAAAAAAAATTTTGGTGAGTTTAAAATTCAATGAATGTAACGGTTCGTGTTGTTTATGCAGGGCCTGTGCCCTTAGAGCTCCTGGAGTATGAGTATTGCTGGCTATGAATACACAATCAGRCCTATCATTCTTTACAAAATAATTGGTAAGAGTTTGCCATACATGAGCATCACTGTTATTCTATATGTGTGTGTGTTTTTAAAAAATTGGGGGTCAAAAAAATATATAGATGTTTATATTTTTTTTAATATACATCGCACATCTATTTATAAACAAGATAAATATGATCTGTACTGAATAACTAAACAAGCCATACATACACACACACACACACACACACACACACACACATATATATATATATATATATATATATATATATACAAACACACCGCATTGAATCTTATTTTCTTGCATTATTAACATAACATTAGTAGGGGTGACAAATAATCGTTACGTAATCCCTCCTATTATAAGACACTACTTCCTCTTGAGTGTCATGTATGAGGTGTGTGTGTGTGTGTGTGTGTGTGTATGTCTGTGCGTGAGTATGACTATCATCACACACTTGCCAGACACCATGTAATGGCAATATCACGTATAGAAAATGATTAAATAAAAAAATAAATAAATAAAAATAAATTTTTTAGTTTGTGAGCTACTTATGAATGAGACCCACATTTTCATTGGCAAACCGCTTGTGTTTATAATGGCAATCGCATTGATAAATAAATAAAGTAAACACCAGAAGTTTATATAACAATATACTATGTAATACTCAGTAGTAGTAGCACAGGGAGATAGTAGACACACATACATACCTAATTGTTCTGCCAGTTCTGCGTGATCCTGTTGATGGGTGTAATCAAAAACACTTGAACCTGTCATCTCGACCTATTGCCAGTGCAGAGTAGCACCGGGAGATAAAAGAGAAAGATAACCATCAGTTAGCTATTGTTTGTATAGATATAATATAATTTATATACAGTATATACTGTACATTAACTAAAGTTATAAATACAGTATATCTATAATATGTATTGAAATTTACGGGAATAGCATACATAAAATAACAGATAAGAGATGATAAATAAGTAAAAAATAAAAAACAAAATAAAATAAAAATTAACTAAAATTTTATTTTTAAACGTTGTATTAAGTTTAATGGCAAAGAAAATTATCATATAATTAGGTTAGAAATCATTAGTGAGTATAAATTGTTAACAAAAATTTTGTTAGTTTTCTATAATTTTGAAACCTCTCTCTCTCTCTCTCTCTCTCTCTCTCTCTCTCTCTCTCTCTCTCTCTCTCTCATGGACTTCCGTTTATTAGCCACTGTATGTTAGTTATAGCCCTAAAGCGTATTATTTTATTATTTAATATACTTAATTATAGTATAATCTTGTGATGTCTTGTTTTATACATATATTTACTTATTATATATATATATAAGTAAATGATAAGCGATAGACGACTACTGATGATAATAAATAGATTATGTAATAAATTTTAAAAATATTTTTAGAGGTAAGAGAGAGAGAGAGAGAGAGAGAGAGAGAGAGAGAGAGAGAGAGAGAGAGAGAGAGAGAGAGAGAGAGAGAGAGAGAGAGAGAGAGAAAGAGAGCGGAAATGGGATACACAGGACATACATAAACTTAAGGCAAATTTTGATATTTATTTTAATTTTTATTTCTTTCATTCTCTGCTATCTTCTTTCTATCGCATATTACGACATAAAACTGCTATTTATTTTAACGAAGAAAACATAATTATAATGTATAATAATAATAATAAAACTAATAATTTTTTAAAAAGTCGTAATGATGTATAGACAAAAAGATATACTGTATAAAAAGGTAGATAATAGTGCAACATATGACAAGAGAGAGAGAAAGAGAGAGAGAGAGAGAGAGAGAGAGAGAGAGAGAGAGAGAGAGAGAGAGAAATAGAGAGACACAAGTAGTGTCATTAAATAATAAAATATAAAAATATATGCAAATTAATAATTACTTGACTCAGTCCTAAATAAATAGACACCGTTTCTGAGATGTAGAGGAAGCGGCCGTCGTGTCCCAGAGCGAAGGCGAATCCGTCCAGGGATTGTAGGATATGAGTTCCCTGATGTAGTTCAAACATATTGCCTATGTATGTGTATTATTGATAGGATTAGACAAATATAGTATATATTTAAAAAGGGAGAACACAACAAAAAAAAAGAAAAACTGTGATAAATCGATAAATGTATCAAATTATTGGTTATAAGTTATACAAGTATATAGTAGTATACATTAGTAGCAAATAATAATAATAATAATAACAAGTGTATGTCTAGATTGAGTGTTGTTATTATTAAATGATAATTTAATAATATGATTGTAGTAGATAAAGGGGTTTCTCCATTTACCTACATATCTATAAATCTATATTTAATGATATATGTAATGTATATCAATATATAAAGTACATTAATAATAATAAGACAACTAATGCAATTGATGATAAAAGTGTTTTTCAACACAAAATTGTTTATCATTAATCTTTTAGATAACATCTTTTATATGATTTTTTTGTATATTTTAAATTCAATGTTCTTGATGTTATTTCCCCATAAAAATAATAGCAAAAACCAGTGTCTCAATTGTCATCTCATTAATAATTAAAACAGATTTTATTTTTGTGTCGACGCTGTTTTCTGATATTAATTTCCGATTTTAATTTGTGTCCAACATTTTTGTGTGTCGACAGAAAAAAACTTGATTTTATACAAAATACTAGAGAATGAGAGAGAAATAGTAAGATATTGTCTTAATATTGAAGAATTTAAGCAATGATTTATTCATTTATTCCTATTTTTTCTCTCTCTCTCTCTCTCTCTCTCTCTCGTAGTAATAAGTTATGATAACAAGTAGTAGAAAGGAATAGTAGGAAATTATCGACAATAAAGGACTTATTGGAGAGGAAACCGGGGGTCGAGTGGAGTACCAGAAGGATGAGCTCCACGACATGAAATTCAGATAAAGAGAGAGCACAGGGAGAAAAAAGTAGCAATTTTTGACTATTGAGTATTAAAATAGTTGAAGCAAACTGTTTGGGGACATACAATAGTGGACCTTAATTTGATGTCATCATTGGGTCGGTACCGACAACTCTAACTCTATTTTGATTATAACGACTAATGACTATTTGTCGACCAAATTATTTGTTAGTTTAAATCAATTTTCTAGTGTCAGTAGTAGTAGAAGTAGTGGTTGAATACCAGTGCTCACAACAGATTTGTTAACAGATCATGATTTATAAGAGAGATATATAAAACTTATTTTTGCCTAAAAGTTAACTATGATTTCATATGGTTTATGCTTATTTGGTTTAAAAATAATGATAGTAAAAGTAATATTAATATTAATTTAATTAAATATTTTGTTGTACAGTATTAATATATCATATTTTCAATAAAATAAAACCTAATGTTATTGAATTGTATAAAATATATTGTATTAAAAATAGGATTTATAACCAAAAACTTATGGATATTAATGAAACTGTTATTACAGTACATTAATATCTGTATAGATATACATTACTACTGAATATTATTATTATTAATAACAATATAAAGTTTGTATAAACAATTCACACTGAATGTAATCATATATTGTATCTAAATTTATATTACATATAATGTAATAATATTTATAAATATATGAAAAAGGATAACACATGGGGAGAGATAGGTGTCCTCCGCAACCACCATCATCACCATCACTACTATTAAACCTTAAACTCCCTGAGCTATTAGTTTTAACCCCCAAAACCGATGAAATCTATGCCCAAACAAAAGTGATGCTTAAACCCAAAATGTAAGGTTTCGGTTGATTATTATTATTATTATAACTACAGTATGATTACGATTATTGTATTTTGTTATGACTAACAATATATTGTATTGAAATACTCTATAATACAACAACAACTACTACTACAACAATATATCAATTGTGGGCCAATTTTCAAATAAATGGGGGGAAGGAGGGGGACTCTATAGTCATATTAGACATGCCTATGCCTATTCATACGGTATCTTTCATTCAATATATCTATGATATAGTCAGGGCGTCAATAGTGAGTGAGGCGTTAATAACTGAATTATTTGTGGAAATGTCAACATTGCTGGTCCCTATCAATCATAATCAAGTTAGTAAATCCTTTTTAGTAGGCCCTGTGTGCCAGTCATAGCCGCTAACATAAAGACATAGTACTACTATTACTATTACTACTACTACTGAACCAAACGGTGGTAAACCCTAATACTATGAGCATATCATCACTTCTTTTCTTTCGCTCTCTTTTACTCTCACTTGTCTCCCTGTCCTCACATATATGAACTATTGTATAGTATAGTGTATATTGAGAGAGAGAGAGAGAGAGATATTGATATATAAATTACATTTCATTTCATAGTTCACTAATACAATATACTACGGTTATGTTGTCATCTAACAGCTCTCCCCTCACACCCACCCAATCACTCGCAACACATTATATCAGCACTTTCTCTTCATGTGTGCCCACACTCTCATAACTGTCAGATCCTACACACTCTTACACTATCTATCTGTCTATCCAACAGTCCTTTAGCGGTATGTCATCCACTTTCATATTGTTTCAATAAATAAGTATTCATAGCTTTATATACAATATATTTTACCATTTATCGTAAGCTTGAATATTGACTTTAAATGTAATAATGAAACCGATATATAACTTATATATAGCATATAGAAAGTGGGGGTATATTATATTGACATAAAGTATATAAAATTATATATATATATATACAATATAAATACAAACTAAAAAAAGTCTAAATTTGCCGGCTGTATCTGTATATATAGTATAACATTGATGATATGTATGCTATAAAATGTTGGCGTATGACATGAAAATAAATTGTTGTCCTTATCGATGCCAATGGACTAGAAGTAAATCCAAATGAGTTTTTTGTTTTGTATTATTTTTTTAGCAATAGTTGTAGTAGTAGTAAAATACAACTTTGTGTTTCATAGACTACTGTTTTTTTGTACATATATATATCGATATGTCCACTCTGTATATACGCTTTATTACATTATTACATATATTAGCTTTTATGCACATTATGAACGGCTAAAAGAGCACTGGTATAGTAAACTGTTTTATATTATAACTTATATATAAAAAACATTATTTGATATCTTATATGTTGTTTGTGTCTATAGTTGATATGACATTCAGCACCCGAGTCATCGACACATTTATAAATTAGATGACAGAAACATAAATTATATATAAATATAGTATATATAAAACAATCCATAATAATGAGTATTGTATGGTTTATATATATATTTGGATATCATTTGTTATTTTGTAATTATATGAATAGCATCAATGGACATCAACAATAAGATAAATTGTTTCATAAAATTATTATATATATATATAATAATAATAAACATTTAAGCAATTATAGTAAACAATAAAAAGATAATTTAAAAAAAACTAAAATTGTTGGTCATATTATTAAATAAATAAAAATTAGACAGTATGTTTTATATAGATGACAATGTACTTGATATGATAAAATATACAAAAATAAACTAAAATAAATAAAAAAAATTATTTTAAATTATTTTAAATTTAAAAACCAACAACATAAACAACAAAAATTATAATATAATATCATTTTCTATGAAAATATAAATTTTATGCAAACTATTATAATATTATTTTCTTTATATTTAAATGCTACTGTATTATTATTATTATTTTTTTTACTGTACATTCTGTATATCAATTATATAGTATAGTCTATAGAAGTCCATGCTATAAGATTTTAAAGGAAGCATGGTAATTTATAAAAAAAATAATATACTAGAATAAACCATTAAATAATAAAACAACTAAATCACTGTCTCAATGATGTCGAGACATAAATAATAGCAATCAAAATAGTAATAATAATAATAATTTTCGTGTGTTAATTGTTTTGTGTAAAATACCATAACATTATTAAAAAAAATATTTATATATATATATATATATATATTAAATTGTATATAATTTAAATACTGTATATACAAAATATTTATAAAAATGTATATTTTAAATACTTTATAACTTAACCAATAATAATTTTGCAATAGTATTGGCACCGGTATTTAGATAAAGATTTAAAAAAAATTACTTAATTACTTACATGATTTACTTAACTTCAATGCGGATAAATTGGTGCCACCGTTTGACATCCCATTCCAAGAGGGTTCGCCATTGGACGAGAAATCACGTAACTTCAGGTAACTTATTGTCAGCCGTATTATCGATGCCTTGTCTATCATTAACAATAACAACGACAATAAAACAAATAAAGGTAACAAACAATTTACACAATAGTAATATTTATAGTTATTATTATATCATATATTTTTGTTTTTTAATGGTTTGTATTTTGTTTTGTTGTTTAGTTTTAATATACATAAAAATTAAGATATATACAGTATATCTCAATATATATATATATATATATATATATAAATGCATGTTTAGTAATGCATAGATAATGAGCACAAAGATAAGTTATGTATTATATTTATATAATTTTATTTTATACCAGAAAAAAAATGTTTGTCATAATTTGTTGTTTTTTAATTTTCTACTAATGGTATGGTTAGATACTGTAGATTGAGAGAGAAAGAGAGAGAGAGAGAGAGAGAGAGAGAGAGAGAGAGAGAGAGAGAGAGAGAGAGAGAGAGAGAGAGAGAGAGAGAGAGAGGACTATTAGAAGGGAAAGGGAGAAAAGAAAGGGTGACTAATGAGCAAAAGTGATTACCGAAAAAAACATACCGAAAAAAAACAATACTATGCTATGTTTGACTCATATATATACTAAACTATAGTTTTTAATCATTTACTGAAAAATAACTCATTTGCAAAAAAATATATAAAAAAATATTTTCTGATTAATTTTTAATGTAGTGTTTGCTTATTATAGTTTGCGTGTCGCCAAAATATGCTATCGACTATTACATAATATTACGTATTATACTGTACATAGATATCATTTTATAATAACAACAAAAATCATTAAACTATAGTTAAAAATTTTTAAACTATTATATTATAATTATATTTTAGCAACAACAACAAAAAATCATCTAACATTTTATAACACATTAGTTGTTAATGTGCTAAATATAGTTTTAATAAAATAAAAAATAACACATATTTTAGCTCTTATTTTTATAAAAAAATAGTTAAAATCAATTTTTTATATAATTAATTAAATGATAGCTTAAAATGTTTTGTTTTAAAAAATAGATATATTGATACAAAATTTTTTGTGATTATCTGTATGCGAAAAAAGGTATCGGCCTTTATCACGACTGTTTCATTCATTAATTACTAATGAATTTAAATTATTATTATTATTTTGATGGATGACTTCAATATTTACCTAATAGTGCATTACCTAATTGGGAAGTAATGGCTGCGGGCAGTGGTAGCATTTTGGCCAACTCGTAGAACTCATGGTTTTCTTTGCCCCGACGGGAACGGGCAGCGTCTCGACTCTTCTCTTTACGCATTTCCAGGATTCTGGCGGCACAGGGATGGTTAGGTGGATGGTTGGATAAATACATAAAACAAACAGTTAGTCATTTGTATTTTAATCAATTATTTAATTCAAATATATATATAGTTAAATTTCAATGTAATATATTACTTGTTTAAAAATGTCTAAAATATTAATGATGTAGTTGTAAATGTATGTATAGGTATGCACAGTGTTTGTATGTGTATATAAATTGTAATTATAATTATTGAGAGAGAGAGAGAGTTTAATTAAATAAATTAAATGCCATTTTTTGTAGTTAACTATTTTTTGCTATTTAAATATTGTTTAGTAAAATTAATATTTAACTATTAAATATTTATATATAGTACACATTATTACTGTACAATACTGTAGTTTTGAAATTAATAGATAGTGAAACATTATTTCGTATAATTAGCGTATAATGTGTTTTCTATAGATATTAACATTAAAATTGCAATTAAATTTGAATTGCATATTAATTTTGGGAATATAATCGCGTTGTATTATATTGAAATATAGCAAATAAAACAGTACTACTATTAATAATATAATTAATAATTTATAAATTATATTTATATACATAAATTTTAATAAATATGCCGCCAATTCATTTAAATAATAGTATATATAAATTGTTAGCATTTTTTTCGTTTACCGATAAAAAGCCATATGATGTTAAATAACTCATTGAGAAAAATGTTTGTATAATTAACTTTTAAAAAATTGTGAGTAACTATTGTGAATACATAAGCGATTATATTGTAGGAGTAATACAGTATAGAAAAGTTCAGTAGTATTGAGAATGAAAGAGACGGTTAGACTAACGCACACACATATAACAGACATACATAAGCGATATAGTAATACAAGAAGCGGCCCCAGAATATTCATTTCTCCTAATGATAGGGATGGCCTACAATTATACTACCAGTGCTTTCTCTCACTTAGTCTGACTAATATAAAGTGAAATGTTATTTTTCGTATAATATATACAGTATATATGTAATGCCAATACACTATACAATTTATATAATAATTGTAAATATTAAAACTAAAATATAATAAAATAGTTAAATCACTAATTAATTATTCCGATCACAACAGCACTGTTGAGAAACGCCTGCAAATTGGAAATCCGTTTTTAGCTACAGAAGCGAACCAACTGTTTTCTGGTGCCAGTAGTTGTTTTAACAATTTTTCTCTCCTTCTCTTTTTCTTAGAGTTGATGACTACTAATGGGACTGACATTCAAGAGGCCAATTGACTAGTTTTATACTATACTTGTCTATAACAACGGCAATATCATTCAACAATTGACTTAAAAATTCAATTACTTGCTATTATGATTGCAATTATAATATAATATATGGAGTGGTCTCTCTCTCTCTTTCACTCACACACACACACACACACACACACACACACACACACACACACACACACACACACACACACACACACACTCACTCACTCACTCACTCACTCACTCACACTCACATACACACTCTTTTATGATGATTGTGAAGTATTTGATAGATAAGTTAATGTAAAATAAGTCTAAAAATGTTTTGGTATTCTTCTTGTGTGATGACCGACCAACACATCGAACGGACCATTAATGAGAGTCAGAAAATCAATGAGARAGTGTATGGCGAGAGAGCACCGGGAGAAGAGAGAGAGAGAGAATCTATTTCTCAATATACTGGAGTTTGTATAGTAAGGCGTGACTCGCATCCTAAGACTGTGTGACTACCGATGACTTTGACTATGTCTTATGAATACACAATCAGCCATATATTGATGAAAATGGTTATACAACCCATCATAACGGTATGAGAGCATACCATATAATAAACTGTAAATACTCGGGCATTGGTATTAGGATTATGAAAACATATTATACATATACCAAACAAACACAATAAGTTTTATATTGTGTTAATAAACTAAATGGCAAACGAAAAGTAAAGTAAAAACTTTAGTATATATTTATATAATAGTCAATTGACATTTAAATTGCACCCAAAGCTACAATACCTCAGATCTAGTTAATAGTCAACAGTATCAATGATATCACAAAATAATTTATTTTAATATACATATGCATAACATAGTAATATAATAATATATTGATATTTACTGAGAGAAAAAGTTATTGAGAAAACAGTATTGAAAGTTAAAAGCAATTTTATGACATCCTATTAAACCATTTATTTAGTGTTTTCTCAATTAAAATATGTCTCTGGATATCATGAGAGAGATTAGCTATTAATTTCAATGCCATTAAGCTATAAACTCTTTATAATGTATAAAAGTATAATATATCTTAAAAATTCACTCTCAATATGTGTGGTAATAAATAATCACTTAAAATGATTAGTTTTAAATTAAATTGAAACTTTAGAAATCAATATAATTAAAGTTGATTTTAATTTCATACTTAAAATTAGTTTTTAATAGTTTTTTTGTTTAACTGTTAAAACACACCACACATACACACTTGTTATCAATACAGTCATAAAATTGCCATAATTTTGATTAAAATTCACTTGAAAACCATTAGCTATGAATAAGTAATTTAAAGAAATATATTTATCTATTAGTACTACAGTATATACTGTTAATGTTAACCATCATATCATTTTTAATGATGATTTATCACTAAAATTAAAAAATAATTAATATATATAAAAACAACAACATCACCACACTATCAACAAAACAAAACAAAAATTATAATGTTTAAAAGTTAAAATTAATATTAGGTATGGGACCAAATAGGTATACCACATATATAATATACTAAATATATGCTTTTATATATATTAAAAAATAGATACCATATTTTGTAAGCAATTATCGCATCCATCAAAATTATAAGTTATAATTAACAATAATTTTCTATTATAGTGTATCTATTTATAAGTAAATTTATATTATTTCTATTATACATAGTATAACTTAGTAAATATATTTTTTATTTTTATAATATAGTATATTTATGTAACTTATTATATTGTATAAAACATTTTTTTTAAATTTAAGATGATACATCAATTATAAAATATAATAATATTATTATAGTAAATAATTTTATCAATATTAATGGTTGAGACATTTTTTAATTAACGTAAAATATTACATAATAATAAAATTAAGTAATTATAATAAATTATTATCAATGAAATTACTTTTTTTGAAATAAAATATTTGATTCAAGTTTTCTTTAATTTATATTTTAACAAATCAATTTTTCGTGTTTTTTAAAAATCATTAGTCAAATGATTTAACGATTATGTAAAACATGGACACAATTTAAATTATAAAATATATTTAAAATTAGATGTATATATTACTTATTTATTGATTAAGTTTTATTTAACAAAAAAAACAGGTAAAAGCAATTATATTAAATAACATTCAAAAAATAAAAATCAATTAATCTTTAAGTAAAATATATTTATTAAAAAAAAAGTTTCTAATAATAAACAACAATTTTTTCTCTCTTTCTCTGTCTGGCAATGAATTTGTGCCAAAAAAATATTTATATAAATGGTATAGTAGTATACCTGTCATTTATTATAAAAATTTGATTTATCTAAATTTCATAATAATTATTATTTTCCATAATTATATATCTGATATATACTGTATATAATTTTTTTCATCATTAAAAATATAAAAATAATACACAAAAGTTTTATACAGTTTTATATACACACATTCATACATAGATTAAATTAATTTCATAGTCAATAAAAAAAAGTCATGGTTTGACTCTAAAAAAATAAATAAATAATTCGTTTTTAAAAGACTAGACTTTTTTTGTGGGGAAAATAGAAAAATGGGTTTATATTTATGTAAATGTATTTTTCAATTTAATTTAAAACATTATTAGTGTGTGTCTCGCAGAAAAAAAAATAAATTATTTAAAGATAGCACAGAAAAAATAATGTAAATCATTTTTTTTAATTTTCAAAATATATGTTTATACATTTCTAAGATATTTCATGTATAAGTATGTTATTATGGAAATATAAATTTTTTTAAAGTGAAAAATGAGACCCAAAAATAATATAAAGAAAGAGATGGATAGATAGATAAATAGAAACTTTTTTTTAGAAAAAAATATTATAATTAACATGAATTGAAATTAAATATTTTTTTGGGATAAATATTAGTGTGCAAAATAATTTTGTGTTTAATGGTTTTATATAGTTTTCAATAGATTATTAAATGTATTACATAATAATTACCATAAACTATGATATTAATAGTACAAAATTTTAATTATAACAAATAAATTATCACTAGTTTTTTGTATTTATGTATAAATAATTATTAATATCTATTTGTTAATATATATATATATATATATATATTTACAATTTATACAGATTGTTCTCAATCGTGATCAATAGCATACCATACTATGCTATACTATGCCATAAGATAACATACATACTATACTATACTATATATTTATATATTGAGTAAATGCAATTTTAGTTAACATAAACTTCATGTGTATTGAATTGTAAATCAGTTTTCGCATTATTTATTGTGAATTAGTGATAAAGGGAGAGAAAGAGAGACTATAGCATAGGGTGTTAAGAAAAAAATAATAATAAAGTGCCCATTTAGGAGTGTTATATCACTGGTATATTGCACTGGAAAATCCCGGTGCTCTTATAAACGTATATAGTCAATGGCCTGAGTGTGTGTGTGTTTAAATCAAGTGAGTGGACTAACTTAACTAACTGACCAAAGCGATACACACACACACACTATTTTGTATGAAGTGGTGGGGAATGGTAGGCGATAATGAGCTAAAGATGCAAAACATTAGTACTGTTCATATAAGACAACAATCAACGCTACGGTAATATTGTCAATGGATATACAGTATATAAACTGTAGAGTACCAGTAGAGTATCTATTAAATGAATGGCCATTATTAGCAATTCTATCGCTTATACAGTATATACAGTGTGTCAGG